ACCGATGATTTGGGTACCCTAGAACTAAAAAATAGTGATTTTCTATAAGAATTATTAAAAGAACAAAAAAGCTATTTCCAAGAGACTATGTCATTTTTTAGGAAATTTAGTTTGTATATTTTTGAATATTCTGCATGAAATTGTGCCTGAACTGGAATTCCCCAATAATTTGTTAACTACCATCGTAATCACAATAAACAATTCCGAGATTTCTGTAGGCTTACAAAACTCAAATTCAATGTTGGCGCAACAAGCCATTGGAACGTAATCTAATAAACATAATTGAACTGACTGATATTATATGGGATGAGTAACAATTCTTCAAAATTTTTCACTAGCAAATTTGACCTTTGGTCTGAATAAATTTTCTCGATGGCGCCCGAAAACATACGAACTTAGTTTCGGTTTCGGTTGCAGTTTGGGCGGATTTTCTGCCAAAACCGAAACTCTGATTTTGGACCGAAACTGGCCGAAACCGGAAGTTCGGTCGGACACTAGTTATAAAAAAAAGCCATGAATGGTCTAGTATTGATTCTCACTGATCGGTTACAAAGACCTAAATATTGGCTAGTGGAGTTGTGTACCCCCAAAAATAGAGTAATTTTGGTTGGAATTCTTACAGGCTACTGCATATTAAAGCTACGTAAGTACCTCATGGGAATAGAAAAATGCCCTATTGGTCCAAATGTTGAGTATAAACTGTTCCACTTTCTAAGCGTGCCGTGTATCAACGCCTTTGAGTTACTATCTCACGTGGCAAAAAGACGACAGCGTGGCACGCTTTGGATCTTCCTTTCAGGGCTTGTCTTGAGTGGGAAGTGAAAAGTGAACCAGCGAGGATCGTGAACCGTTAATGCGATCACGATTCAGCTTAGTTCATGAAGCCAACCGTGAAGAAGCTTGTGGTTGATAGTTGTGCTCTTTTAAGTTCAGATTTTAGTGGTAGGTTAGTGAAAAGGTTGAGAGCCACGTGGACAGATAAAAAGATGAAAGCAAAAGCTTTGTGGATACTTGCATAAAGGAACACAATTTGGCAGACGCTAACCTAAAAAACACCCTAAATATTTAAATATTTGAAATTTTGGCACGCGTAATTTAAAGCTGCGTTCTCTAATGGAGTGTGGCATGCTACATTCAGGAACCGAAAAGGAAGAGAGCAGGGGAACACATCGCACACCCATGCTAACGCGGGATGTTTTCGACGCAACAATCTTGTACATTCAGTAATGAACCTTGACGAACAAAAAGCGTCCTAGCGCTCACCCGGTTTCGATGGATGGCCGAGTTCTGCCAAAGAGCCGTTCATTTCGGCTGGTGCACATCTCGTCAATAGCGGGAGCTGCTGGGAAAAAGCTAGATTATTTGTTTAGAGCTAAGAAATACTTCCTCTGCATGGCATCGTCACTCTGTGAAAGGCCCAGATAAGACCTAGCCTTGAGTATTTCTCACACGTTTGGGGTGCTGCCGTCCCGACTACATTATTTATGCTTGATGCTGTCCAGAGGAGGGCTGTCCGACTGATCAGTGACTCTTCTCTAACAGACAGTCTGGGGACCCTTTCGCACCGACGGGCCGCCGGCGATCAACCTCTCTTCTACTGCTACACCAACTGTACTGTCAGACAGTCCAGCCTGACTTTGGCCTTCCATCCAAACCGTGACAAACTTCGTTCAGGGTTTGTCCGGAAAGTAATAGCACTGAGTCGATTTAAAAAAAATTATTGAGCCAATCGTTATAATTCTTTAAAAACTTTCAAAATAAGCTCCTTCTGTGTCAATGCAGCGCTGCCAGCGCGATTTCCAAGCATTGAAGGCGTCACGGAAGGCATTCTCTGGAATAGCCTTGAGAGCCGCGGTGCATGCTGCTTGGATTCCCTCTGTCGTCTCAAAAAGCTTGCATTTCATCGGCCTTTTCAGGCGAGGAAACAAAAAAAAGTCCGGGGGGCACATCTGAGCTGTAGGGCGGCTGCGGAAGCGTTTGGATGCCGTCCTTGGTCAGGTAGCTGTTCACAAGAAAGGCGGTGTGAGCCGGGGCGTTGTCGTGGTGCAACTTCCAGTCGGCTGCGATGTCTTGTCGGACCCGACTGACCCTTCGTTTGAGTCTCCTGAGCACTTCCACGTAAAACTTGACGCTGACGGTTTGTCCAGGAGGAACAAATTCATGGTGGACGATGCCTTTGATGTCAAAAAAGACAATGAGCATCGTTTTCACTTTGGATTTGCTCATTCTTCCCTTTTTTGGGCGGAAGATTGCCTCTTTGTCTCGGGATCATACTCAAAGATCGACGACTCGTCACCTGTGATTATGTTATTCAAAAATTGGAGGTCACTTTCACACATGTTCAAATTTTCTTGGCACACTTCCACTCTCCGCAATTTCTGGTCGTCAGTGAGCACTTTTGGGACCATTTTCGCGCACACCTTGCGCATGTTCAAATGTTGTGTCACAATGTCATGAACCACAGATTTTGGTAAATTTAACGTCTGGGCAATTAAACGAATACTTAGTCGACGGCCTGAGTTCAAAACTTTGCGCACACGAGTCACATTATCGGTGTTTGTCGCAGTCGAAGGTCTTCCAGCACGCTCTTCATCAGCGACCTCTTCCCGGCCCTCCAAAAAGGCCTGTTGCCACCGAAACACACCACTTCTTGCTAAAGCAACATCTGGGTAAGCCTGCTTGATCATATCAAACGTCTCTGTCGCAGATTTACCGAGTTTCACACAGAATTTAATCGCGTACCTCTGCTCTAACGAACGCTGCATTTTCGGCTTGCACCACTCACAGAAACACGTCGCGCGAAAATGCCTGTTCTGACTCTTCAAGTGCTCGGAGATAACTGACCAGCCGCTCATTCGTTAGCTAGGAACGCCCTCTACCGAATACAGTCGGTGCGCGTACGCTCCGAAGTACAGCCATGGCGGAAGAAAATGAGTCCTATTACTTTCCGGACAAACCCTGTACATCCCGAACTGGCCGATACGACGCCTCCTTAGTCCCTAGGGTTGAACAATTCTACATGAGAAAGCTTTTTCCAGTTCTACTAACCATATGCAGTTAAAAAATCGGATAAACAAAATTTTTTTTTGGATCCTCATATCATCTGCGGTGTCCTGGCGTTTAGGCTTCTGCCTGCGTGGCTGCTTCGGCGCAAAAAACAAGAATTGACAAAGTCGACGTGCAAGTACCCGTCATATTCAAAAACATGACGCGTTGGCATGGCCGTGCGATGCGTTTTGCTGATCTCTTTCTTTTCGGTTCCTGAGTATAGCGTGATCCCCGCGTTAGTGGAATTGTCTCCGTCTGAACGAGGTCGTGAGTTTGCCTCAGAACTCATCGGGAAAGTCTACGACAGTTCACGCTCGGTTTTAAACACGTTTGATATTCACGCCAGTCGAGAGCGTATGGTAATCACTAGGTGGTCGTGACCCAACAACCCTTTTTTTCGATCTTGTAACTCCTCACGTGTCCCCTTAACCTATTCGCTAACATAGCACTAAGAACTGAATTCTAACTGCGCTACTTCCAACTATAAGTTCCTTCATGGTCGGCTTCCTGGAATGACCTAAATCGTGGCCGTGTGAACACTTTGCAACCCTCGCTGGTTTACTTTTTATTTCCCACTCAAGCCAAGAGTCGCGAAAGATCGAAAGCTTCTCATGCTGTCGACTGTTTGCCCTGTGAGGACGTAGGTTTAGAGCTCAGATACTTATTCGGCATGACGGATTGGTTGGCTATTGTGACCTTTGTTCGATGGTCAGTATGGTTATAGTATGTCAGGTCGGCAAGGTGAGGGGGGCAAGGTGACCTAGTTGTTACGCTTCGTCTCTCCATTTTTTTACACCGAAGCAACCACGCAAAAGCCTAAATGGCACGTCACCGCGGCTGCTGTTAGGAGCTTAAACAACTTTTTTAATCTTTAAACTGCCTAAGGTTAGCAGAACTAGGAAAATCCTCCTCTATAGATTGTTCCACGAACACTCTAGGCACAAAGGAGCTGTCCTATTGGAAAGTTTCGGATGTACGAAATTCGACAGGCTTAGGATGGGAGGCGGAAGTCAGGCGGGTCTGTCTGACAGGCACATCGCGCGGCATCATGGAGGAGAGCTCTGAGGAGCAAAGCCCATTGATGAACCGGTAGAACAGAGCTAGATCGCCGACGGTCCGCTAGTCCCGAGACTTTCCGTTAGAGAAGAGTAATCGATCAGTCCTCTGAACAGCATAGAGCATGGCTAATGTAGTCGGGACGGCAATACCCCAAATGGCTGGAGTCCTCAGTGATCTGGACTCCGACCGGAAGAAATGAACGGCTCTTTGGTAAAACTCGGCCATCCATCGAAACCGACTAGATCTAGGACACTTTTTGTTGTTCAAGATACAGTACTGTGCTTGAGAGGCATTAAACTGTACGAGATTGTTGGGTCCCAGGCAGTGATAACCTCCAGGTCTCTCGTCAGAGAGGAAGGCGCTGCTATTCTCCTCTTAACCTCACCGGCAAAGATCGGCTTGTCACTCTGAATTCCTGCATGTAGAGTGCTGTCACCAGCAAAGTTGTGGATTTGATTGATCATACAGGGAAGGAGGTCGTTGATATGTGAGAGGAACGGTGTCGGAGCCACTACCGAACCCTGGGAAACACCCGCGTTGATGTTGTGGGTTGAAGAAGAGAACCCATCAGTTATGACGGATATCTTGAGGCCAGAGAGATAGTCAGAGCCACCCATCTGGAAAGCTTCCCTGGGAGGCCATAGAATGGAAGTTTGCATAAGAATGCAGCATGCCAAAACTGGCCGAACGCTTCGTAGTACCAAGAGCAACGACATGGGCCTGACCATAAGACTGAATGAGTTTACTACTAGGAGGCTGCTGTGAAAAACATTAATGGCGAATAGAGGAATTCTAATATGCCTGTATCATTATTTGGTAATTGACAGAATCGACATAAGATTATACGGTATAATTTGTTTATTAGCGGTGTATTCCAAGCTTTAGGATATACAAAAATAGCAATGTCATAATAATGTGGTACAAACCAGTTTGAAGACAATTTATGTCTACTATTTTTCATGTAAATTATCGCGGTATTATGTTGGATTCATGTGTTTGAAATATCGTGTCTGAATCATAAGGTATTACATCTTCCGTTAGTGCGAAAAAATACGCGATGTGTTATGTTGTTTCCGTGTTTGTGTTTAAAGGGCGACACACTGTGAAGCATGTTTGAGGATGAAATTCGCAGAATACTAGGTTAGTGATGTGTTAGTCTCTACCCACATATTTACGTAGATAAAGTTGTGACCACGTCTTCTGTACACAAAAACTGAACACACCTGTGCGCATAAACACTGCTTGAGATTGTGAAATTTCTTGCGCAAGGTTTGATTCAGTTTTAAGGACGAGTACGTGTATGAAGGATTGTTAGTTTTTGAGCGTTCCCTTTAAAAATTGTTTTATTTCATTTTGATATCAGCACTTACAAGTAACGTAATTCTGTTCTGACGGCACGCATTGTGCACCACGCGGCACATACCATGGGGTACGTATTTGGATGACGGCATCTCACAGGACTTGAATATTAGAATGAGTTTATAACCGATTCATTTTTACTTCCCACGCTACTGGCGAGAAAGCATTATAATCGCAAAAAAATTGGAAATTATGGTTTCCGAAGTCATTTCGCATGTACCTGGTCCCGTTTATCATGTGCATTCTCTTATTCAGTGAACAATTGCAAAATTATGCAAAATTTGTGACTTTGGGGTGTTAAAAATCAATTTTATTTATCGGTGACTATAATTATGTGAACGATGCTCTGTACACTTAATTTTCGACTTTCGAAATTTTACTTTTCTAAAAAAGTTTAAATATTTGATTTTTAACTTACAATCCAAAGATACAACACTTAAACTCTATAATAAAATAACATGTATATCGTTGAAGTAATCTATGAAGTTTCAGCACATTCCTATGGTGGCGTGATGCTGGGCCTTGTTTATTACAACGTAAGGGATTTGTAACAACATAACAGTACACTTGTACAGTCAGGTAATTTGGGGCGCTTAATTTGAATATAATTGTGAAAAAAACCTTAAAGGATGACGGAGCTAAATTTGGGGTGAAAAATTAGTAACGAACTAGTTGCCCGTGAATCCTAGCACTAAACTGACATGGAATTCGGAATCTACGCACCCCCATTTACTTAGAAAACAAGCTAACATCCAGATTATAGATACGCAACAATGTTTGGACATTATTTAGTCGTTTTTTGATAAGTAGAATTCTTGTCCAGTATCTCGGAAACGTGGCATTTTCGGACTGAATGGGCCCCAAATTCAGTTTCAGTGACCCAAACAATGTATAATGAGGGTTGGGTTGACGTTTTCGATTGACCCATTTTTGCTCCTACACATGGTTATTAAAAATTGAAAAGTTTTAAATTCGGTTCAAGTGACCTCTATTCCGTTTATCCTGTACATTCTATTATTTAGTGAAAATTGAAAAACTCTGCGACATTTGCGACTTTATAGGGTGCTAAAAATCAATTTTCTTTGTCGGTGGCTGTACGTGAACGATGCTTTGTTGGGGCGCTAAACTTGAATATCATCCTAAAAAAACCTGAATGGGTCATGGTGCCGCGATAGGGGTAAAAAATGGTAAGAAACTAGTTACTTGGAGTCACCAGTGAATCCTAGCACTAAACTGACATTGAATTCGGAATCTACGCACCCGATTTACTTAGAAAACAAGCTACCATAGATCAATTTTGTTCTATACAAACGTATGCTTTCACTTTAAATATTCTCAATTAAATGAAGTTTCGTTTAAAATTAATTCTGATCTAATCAATATTACAGATTGTCACAGGATCAATCCTAAAGAGAGTTCCAGTATGCTTTTTCTCATAGACACATGTACGAGTATAATAACATAAAGGACGCACCTATATTGATTATAAATAATGAGCGCAACCCCATAGTGATACATTCTAAAAACCTGGCTGTTATCTCGAACTCTAACTTGAAGTTTTATAGACACATCAGTTACCTGTCTCAAAAAACTTATGCCAAATTGAAACTTTTATATTAAAACAGGTACATTTTAAACTTTAAAACTAGGAAAAAATTAGTTGAAAGCTTGATCCTGTCATCTTTGCAATATTCTTTGATTTTATTCTATTCTTATTTGGATTTGTCGGATCGGTATAGGTTACAGAAAATTCAAAACAGTTGTTGCAGGTTTGTGTTTGGGCTTCCTAAATATCGTCACGCCTCTTCGAAGAAAATTGGTTAAAGATAGATTCACAGTTTATTTATGCTATGAAGGTGTTTGTCCATGAAGGAGTTCGCACAAAGAAGCTACCGCACATTTTAGAAAAGCTGGTACCACGAGGTAACATTAATCAGAGAAATGTCAGACATAACATAAATTTTGCGATGCCAGCCCATTCGCAGCCCTTCCCCAGAAAAGCTTTACATTTCATTCTGTCAAGTTATACAATTCTATCGATAAAGTCTATCGCAGTAAAACAGTAGCAGCTTTCAGGAGACTCGTTAAGAAACAGCTGATCGGATAGTTCAAGTATAGTAGGTACTCTGATTTGAACTGTTGTTACTGTGCATTTGCTAAATATTTTGTTTCTTTTTCATATTATTCTGTTGGCTCTTGCTTGAGTATTGTAAACACGTTATCTATCCACTTTGTCTAATTCATTTTCTTTTTCTTCTTCTTATAATGAGTGACAAATAATTTTTGGCATATATGTTCAGTGTCCCTTACCAGTAAAATGATTAAATTTACAGCTTGATTCGTCAACTGAGTGCAGAAGCTGGTTCAATATGTTGAGGATCCACAATTTCTTCTAAATTATGGGGGTATCTAATTCCAGGCTACTGCAACTTCGGGAGTAAGACCTGCTAAAGTCTGTGGAGGGTGTTGAAAATTCAAGAGCCTGCGACCTATCATGTCCCAGACATGTTCAATTGGAGATAGGCCAGGCGATCGAGATGGCCAAGGTAAAGGGTTGATGCGATGTTGATCCATGAATGCTAACGATGCTCTGGCAACATGCGTTCGGCATTGTCTTGCTGAAAAATCGGGTTTTGGATGGTGTTTAGGTATGGTATAAGATGAGGCTCCACTACTTCCTGAATATAGCGTCGGGCTGTTATATTGCCTCTAATGAAAATTAGTGGTGATCTGCTTTCATAAGCAATAGCACCCCATACCGTAACTCCCACTGTGTGGTGAACGTGACGCTCTCTGTCAAATTGTGGGTCACATCTTTCACCACGTCGCCTTCTCACTCTTGCCCGCCCATCGTGCATCCCCAAACAGAAGCGCGATTCGTCACTAAAGACTATTTGATTCCATTCCCGGTCCCATAGAATTCGTTCTCTACACCTGAGCAAACTGCTACGCCGATGTTCAGCTGTGAGAGGTAGCACCCAATGTAGGCCAAACTGTCGTATTCGGCGATATACCGTACGCATACCAACCATCCTCCCATGCTCTTCAAACCACTGATTAGCGATGGCTCGAGTACTACTGAATCTGTCTCTCAGAGCAAGAAGTCTTAACCGGCGGTCTTGTCGCTCTGTGGTCCCTCAGGGACGTCCAGAACCCCTCGCTCGCTGTCCTCGGCTTTCCTGAGTCCACGCGCGTTCTCACTGCAGTATACTGAGTAAGTATCTGTTGGTCCTCCTAGAAACTTCTCTCAAGGTCACTTAGCTGGGACACCCGGCGAATTCTACGCACTCTAGGCATTTTGAGCAATCACAAAAAGGCTCCTCAATAAGCTACATGAAATTTAACATTTAACTGTACCGTAAATGTACGAAAACTGAATGCTTGTTTATCACCTAGCAATACACGCAGCCACCACAAAAACCAAAAAACCTGACGATTTGATCACTTGTTGTTCATGGCAAGATAAATCAATATGTAAAAAATTGTTGAATTCTAATAAACATTCGTAGGTGTTTACCTTTTTTGTCACTCACAGGGTCCGGAACAGATTCATATTTTTCATATTTCTTCATATTTTTTTTAAAGTTTCATAAAACTTCATATTTTTAGAAAAATCTTAATATTTTTCATTTTTTCCCCAATGAAGATCAACTGAGGGAATTTTACGTTGCTCCGGCCGATTTTTTGGCTGTTAGCAACATTTTTTTCAGGAAATGGTCATCATTGTAAACCTTGTTTATATAGGGTTTATAATGATGACTACACAGTTTAAAATTACATATTTTAGTGTTGTATTTTTACTCCCATGTAACAGAAAAATCAAGTTTAGTAACCAAAAATCGGAAAATTTTTAATTTAGGAATTATTTTTGGTTGCTATCAAATAGGTACTTGGTTTAGCTATTATATTGGAAAATATGACTGATTTTAGTAGAATAGTGACAAAATGTCTAAATTTTAAGAACGGTTGACAAAGAAAGACAGCAATAATTGATTTCACATTGGGCCATAAAGCACAGTGAAAATGAACTTTTTTTGCAATGTTTGTCTTAAAGTGGTTCACATTTCCAGATGATTTTTTAGCATACAGCAACATATAGATGGCGAAAAACTTAAAAAAAATTGTTTTGCGAAGCTTTCTTCGGAGAAAGCAGGTAGTTCTTTGCTTACTCTAACAAACAGTAAAGATGCAGCAGTTAAAGCCGAGCGAATGTGGGCCCTTAAAGTTGTAGCATCAAACTTTCAGTATCTGGGATAGCTAGTTTGTTTAAGAAAATGTTTCTAGCTGAAGGTGTTATGAAGTTATTACAGATGCGCTAGGTCCCCATTTCAGAAATGAAATGCTTGAAGAAGCTGGAAATTCTTATTATTCACTTCAATATGATGAGACGACCAATAATGCTGGAAAGAAAGAGTTGCAAATAAGAATAAAGTTTTGGTCAAAAATAGCAGGCCAAATAGTATCATTTAATTTAGAAAGCTTTTATATGGGCCATGCAACGGCAGAAGATCTTAAAAGTGCAATTTTAAAATGCCAACTTGCCATTAGCAAAACTTATCTCCATCACTAGTGACGGTCCAAACGTTAATAAAAAGACATTATGCCTTCTCAATGAGTATATTTTGATTGAAGGGTCTCAAAGAGTTAGGAGAAGATTGCTGTAATTTAATTATAGCTATATATCATTTTTTTGATGGATGGCCTTCAAGGTGCGAGAACTATAATGCGATACAACGAAAAAAGAGTGTTCCAGAACACAAATTCTTAAAGCATGTTAGTAGCAGATGGCTAACTTTAGGTCCTGCTATTGAAAGGATTTTGGAACAATGGGAGGCTATTAATGAGTACTTTCTTAAGTTTATACCTCTCAAGGCAGACCATCAAATAAAAAGTTCTGGTTACAGTACCATTTGCGGTTTCCTTAAGCAAATAAGTTTAAAATGTGAAATGCTCTTTTTGCTGTCGAGTATAAGTTTATTTACAAAATATACTACTATGTACCAGAAAGAGGAACCATTAATTCATAAAGTATATGCCCAATTGAAAGACCTTGTTATTTCGATATCCATCAAGATTTGCAAGCAAGACGTAATTAAAGCTTTTAAATCAATGCCTTCAAAAATAATTTAATGCCATCACAGAATTTGATTTTTGAAAAAGATTTACAAAAAGAGTTATTAGCAGTTCCAGAAAAGGATAAAATATTATTTTTGCATAATGTGCAGAAACATTATTTGGCCGTCGGATCCTACTTAATTACAGCTGAAAACCTGTTAAATAAAAATCTTAAATATCTAAGATGTCTTAATCCTAGCAGTAGAAAATCTGACTCAACGGTTAAAGATTTAACTAATCTTTTAAATAGCCTTCCGCTAGATCTAAAGTTGGATTGTGTAGTTGACGAAAGGAAATTGCTACACTTAGAGGAAGAGCCTCAAGAAGGAAATGTTAGAGTAGAAGAATATTGGAACTACTATTTTGAAAAAACGAATCATGCAGGCGAAATAAAATATCCTTCAGTTGAAACTTTATTTAAGGCAGCGTTAAGTATTAACCATGGAAGCGCCGAAGTTGAAAGAGGGTTCTCTTTGTCTAATCAAGTAATGTGTGAGCTAAGAACAAATATGAAAGAAAAAATGCTAAATTCACGGCTCATTATTTGCGACGCATTAAAAATGTATGACAATAAGCCAGAACTTGTGCCCATTAGCAAAAATTTAATAGCAATGGCACGAGTTGCTTACAAAAATTATAATATGAGTTTAGAAGAAGAAAGAAAAAGAAGAAAACAAAAAGAAAATGATGAAAATGCTTTAAAGAAGTTATTGCAAGAAGAAAGATTAAAACGAGATGATGAAAATAATAGTAAAGATGAGGTGAAACAATTAGAAATCGAACTAAAAAAGAAAAAAAATGATGCTAAGCTACGGTATCAGATAAACTTATAAATGAAGCCTCAGACAGACTTAAAGGCGCATTAAAAAAGGGTGACCTTGCAGAAGCCAAAATTGCTGAAGCATTGATTGAGGGATTTGTAACATCAGAAAAATAACTAGAGAATAAGGAAAAAGAGGTGACCCAAATTCAAAACCAAATAGGCAAGAGGCAAAATAGTTTAATTACAAACTTTTTTTGCTAAGAGACCGAGAAGAATAATCTGTATGTTTGATTTGTTTAGGTTTAAGTTTTTGTTCATACCTGTTTCGTTCAATGTTTTGTACCTGTTTCTGTTCCTAAACAAGTTTCACTTTTTTCTGTTTGCTATAGTACTATTTTCGTTGAAAATTTATTTTGAAAAAAAGCTGAATTTGACTTAACCGGCCATTTGGTAGGAGATTATTACTAAAAAAATATATTATTTGCAATTTGCACTAATATTTGGTTAAAAAAAAACTTCATATTTTCTTCATATATTTTTTTAAAGTTCATATTTCTTCATATTTCAAAAAAAATCTTCATATTTTCATATTATTTTCGTCCTGACCTGTTCCGGTCCCTGCACTCAGTATATTATTATTGTTTGTTTGTGTATCGAGTTTATCTGTTTCTTTTTCTCACAGTAGGTTAAGTGTAAGAGTAGCCCTTTGGCTAAACTTCGCCTCACTGATTTTTATTTGTATAAAGACATTTATTATTATTATCATTATAGACGCCCAACAATTTTTGATTAGTCATTTTTTGATTTGATTTTGGGTCGCTAAAACCGAATCCGAAGTCATTTCACATGTATATCATCCTGTTTATCATGTACATTCTATTATTTAGTGAAAAATCCAGATTATAGACGTGCAACAATTTTGGAGTATTGTAGTCGCGAAAAATTTCGAAAATAAGATATATTTTTGGGATGTTAGATGACATGTTTGTGTTTGTAAAATGGGAGTATAAAACTTTACGAACATTAAAATCACACTGCAAAGTTAGAAACATGGGTTTATTCAAAAGCATCAAAAATTCGATGGACTGCTTTTTACAGCGATTTCTACTGCTGATTTTGCGTTTTTTTGCAGTTGACAAGGAAACAAGGTTACGTATTCTGAAGGACAGACAAAATGAGGAGCGGCAGAGAAAATTGGAGGAAATCAAAGCACAAGCGCTGGCAGCACAAAAGTTCAAGGAACAGAAGGAGGCGGAGAGACGGAAAAGACTTGAGGAACTACGACTGAAAGATGAACAGAGACGACTACAGGTCGATCCAAAATTAAGTTCTAGAAATAGTTCAAATGACGCAGTCAAGGTTTATAAAGTTATACGTGTTTTATGCTTCTTGATATTTAACGTTGTGTTTTGCATGAACTACGATAGATAACATGAACAAAAATAATTCTGTTAGTATGATTAAAAATGTCCCTTATGTTTTGAACGATTCAGGTCAGCAAACTGAAAGTCGGAGTAATGAAACTGACGGATGAATAATATATTTTAAGGTGAATGTGACAAAATTTTAAGAGAGCTGCTCGAAGGTTCCATATTTTATTAATACACTGAGAACCAAATTTGTCTGACGGCTTGATGGTTTTCACTTGTGCGCGAATCAGTGATAATTTGTATTCCGTAATGGTATTTGTGGCATTTTCCGACCGCTCGCTGTCACAAAATGTCATAACTCAGGATGTGTGTGTTGATTTTATCACTATCAGAATCAAAGATAATTCTAAAAGAAATTGAAACACTCAGTCACATCAAAATTGCAATGAATGTAATCAAAATGAAAACAAGGTATTAAATTAAATGTTCGAACAGACCTCCTTCTTGGGCTTGACAGTAACCTAACCTATTATAAAAGCCTGTGCGAACATTTGCTAGTGTAAGATATTGGCAACACCGCAGATTCCACGATCTTCTGCGTCACCGTTGCTATGCAATGTGGTGATGATCTTCGCTCTTCAGCCGGCTTATATCTGTTGATACACACTTCTCGCGCTTCTCTATCGTGACATTGAACTTAAGCAGTCAGACAAATTTGGTTTTCCCTGTATACGCATAGATATTTCCAATAGAAAATTGACGATTCAATGTACAAAAATGCTCATCTTTTACAGCCGCTAGTATGCCATGTATATTATCGGTTTATAAAGTACTCATAAGGAGCTTAAAAATGAGGTGTCACATAACCTCCCATTCTATCTAAAAAACGCGTCAAACCGCCTTCTTGAAATAGTCAACTGCTACTTTTACAATGAAAAGTAATAAAGATACATTCATCAGTTTCATCACCCCGAATTCCAGCTTGTTAACTTGATCCGGTCCAAAAATAGCTGGAAGGGCTTTTTGGAAAGCACTGTAAAGGTTGAGACGACAGAGTATGCGAAAAGATCCGACACAGCGTATTCAATACGTTCAAATACCGTTGCATAACGTATTCTTACCATGGGTAATAAGTTGATCAGTGAGATTACACAGCACAGCGATTCCCTACAAATTACACTGAATTATTTTAGCGACTTGGTATGACATTGAGAGATCGACACACGCTGCGAGAAGCTGACATTTTTTTGTTTGGTCTGTACTGTTGGCAATAATGAATCCGGTAAACCGTATTCAGACCTACAAGGGCGGTCCGATAAGTACTCAACCTCACCGCCCGATGATGCTACTATCGCATTAGAAATTTACTATTATCTGTCAAGATTTCAGCCGAGTTTTATTTTGACCGCGTGTGGAAACGGGCGTGCCCGGCTACCCCGGAGGATAACATCCACGATTTCGTATTGACAGACCGCCGATTGAGACATATCAATAGAACGCATTGGTCATATCCTGCATGAAATATGGGGCATGAGAAATTTTTTTCCGCGAGAATGGGTGTCGCGTTTACTCACCCAGGACAACAAGCGCAACCGTGAGACCACTGCAGCACAGTGTTTGACGCTGTTTAAGCACAATCCGAAGCCGTTTCTGCGTCGTTTTATGACCGTCCACTGGTACACACCAGAGACAAGGAACAATCGAAACAGTGGACTTCGCCCGGCGAACGTGCTCCGAAGAAGGCCGGTTCGACGCCGAATTGCAGAAAAAAAATAGCCCATAGAAGTTGGAGCATCGCTGTGTCAAGTGTATCGTGCTAAAAAGAGACTATCTTGAGGAATAAATCGCCACTTCCAAAAATTTTGTTTTTCTTTTGTAGTAAGTATCCGGCCGCCCTCGTATTTCCACCAAACACTGATAAATATTTGATAAATATTTATTTTCACATACTTGCTTTCTCAGAGTGGTCTCGCTGACATTGAAAACGTTAACTGCAAGGATCGGTTCCTTTCAAATCCAAATACATCCCGGTTTCAAGCGCTGGTATCGCAAGTGCTGAGCCCAGTCTAAGGAATCTTAATCGAAACCACCGGAATTTGCACCAAATCATCAGAATCTATTCCTTCAAGATGATCGGAATGGATTCGTTCAGTTCCCTCTGCGGTAGTGTTCTTTGACAGCCGACCCATTATACTTCGCAACCAAAGTTTTATCGATGCCCGATCCTTTAGCGTTCCATACCTTCGGCAGTTGCATTGTATTAAATATGTTGTGTCACAGCAATGAGAACCTGATCTTTTGTTGATATGCTCTGTATTCCTTCCTTTATAAAAGCCGTATTAATAGCATCCATCACTGTACTAGCAAAATTTACACTATAACAAATTATATTTAACACATACCAGCATGGTTTACCGATTTTATGCATATATAACACATTAATAATATAGGTTCGAAGGAAGATACTTAGATGTATAATCAACAGGATATTATTTTGTTCACCTAAATACTGCTATTTGCAAGCGGTTCAAATTCACTTCTACACAGTATGTACCATCATGATATTTTCTGTACTAATTTTAATGTGGCGTACAGTATATATCGTAAGGGTAACTTGCTGTAAGGAAAACACCGATTTACCGTTCAAAGTCTAATTTATTACTGCTACACTAATTGCAACTTATTTACAACATTTACAACTATATTGACTGGGCTATTATTCGATCTTAATTCCGCGTTCGCTATCTATTTTGGAGTAAAAAAATCGAACATAGAATTGCGAAAAAAAATAGATTTCCCCGTACAATTGCCCTTAAACAGTATGAAAGAGAAATATTTTCAACACGCGTCTTTGGAAATACCTGCCCTGCTGTCATGCTTGACGAATGACGAGCGGCGAAGTTAGTCATAGCAACGTTGCCAGATGTTCGGTACTGTCGGTGGGCAAGGGAAAATTTCCATGGACGAATTGTATGACTGACTCAGCAGTTTATATTTTTTGACAGCTTTCCGTGAGAAGTACGGAGTTAATCTGCCGATGTCATTTTTTCCAATGTGTGTACTTATGTAGTCACGATGATTTAAACCACATTTTTCTCATTTATACTAAAAAATGCAGATTTTTTTCAACTGGAGGTATCAAATATCGATCTAAATCGTTCAAAAAGTGAAAGTCATCAAAATATCATTTACAACATTCTTAGATGCATGTAGCGATGTGTTCAGACCCTTAGGCTCGATTTTACTAAGCTGGGGCTCAAAGAAAGCACATGCACCACAAATTCAACCAATGAGAAGTCGTCTTTGAAGTGATGGGTCTACTGAATATGGTCGATTTCTTGTAAAATATCTCTGAAACTAGAGAAAAGTTATACGATTTGTGTAAGATGGGCCCCAATTCCCATATTAAATCAAGAAATACGTCATAAATGGCTTGATTTAGCTACAAAAGCTTATTTTTCATTTGCATCCGCACACTAATTTAGCGACCAAAAGCATTTGCGCCATATTCGAAGCATGGACACAAATCTGATACATTTTCTAGATTTATGTGACCTCAAATTAAATTTGCATTTTATTGAAAATAACAAGATTCTTCATGATCAATTCTTTGAGGGCATAAATAAAATTATAGAACGTTTATTCTTTAACAAACGTCTCGCGCCCTCTACTGGGCAGCAGGACTTCTAACCTTGCCACCGTCACCGCGACGTACCGTGGATGTGTAGTTGTCCTACCGTCCAGTAGGGTGCGCGGCATTTTCCTGTTAACGGTAAGTAAATTGATTATTTACTCGATGTTAAAGAATATGCATTTTGTAATTGTATTTATGTCTTCAAAGAATGTATTGAACAGAATTTTGTACAGAAACAGTGAGACGCTGTAATTATCAGTAAAATGCTCAACAATGGCATGATGTCAATCTACGAGTCAGTAAATTAAGTGATCGAGGCTGGCAACGTCGCGTTCGATCTGGAAACACTGGAGGTGCCGGGCTTGGAGGGGAGACCTGGGACCATGTTATCCGCCTTTAGTTGAACTCGCTCGAGTCATTTGGTTGTCCGTTGCGATTTTTTTTGTGAAACAGTTTTTTCTAAACTGAGTGACATCAATTTCAAGCAACGATGTGCTATCAGGTTTTGATTCAGACTTTAGCACAGTGCAACGGAAACTCTTGCTAAACAGGCCTACGGAGAAAGTATCTTGTCAAGAGCCCAGATTTTTCGGTCGTTTGAGACATTTTCACGAATGTGTCGATTGAAGATGAACCACGAAGCGGAAGGTCTTGATCTCCAAGGACCTGTGAAAATATCGACATAATCTGGGATCTTGTATGTTCAGATCGTCGGTTGACAGTTAGAATGGTCGGGCAAGCGTTAAATTTGACTCACACCACCGTTCATCACATCAAGAACATCTGGGTGTTGCATCACTATAATGCTCCTTGTCACGCCGCAATGCCAATAAACTTGTTGCCTGTGGCTCCCCAGTCTCCTTATTCTCCTGACTTGAGTCCTTGTGACTTTTTTCTCTTGCCGAAGTTGAAAAATTACCTCAAGGGAGACAGTCGAAAACATTAAAACCCGCTGAAGACTATTCCAGTATAGGAGTATAGGAGAACCGTCTCCAGCGCTGTGTGGCTTCAGAAGGAAGGTGTTTTGAGGGTGGCAATATGAAATTGTAATTATATTGGAATGAAAAAATAAAAAAAATCATTCTCATCACTCGATGTACAGATCTCGTATTGTATCATGTTTGATCCATGTTTCGGGTAGGCTGCAAATCATTTTTGATTGATGGGAGTTGCGTCAACTTTAATGTCCAAACTATGTTTTTGTAGCTAAACCGGGTGATTCATAAAGAATTTTTGTTTTAATATGCGAATTAGGGGCCCATCTTGCACAAGTCAAATAATTTTTCAAGAGATCCAGTGTCTCCATTATGTACTTTGCTACTACTAGGGCCATATCGTCAGTCGTACCTACAACTATAGGACGCCTTTATTGTCTCCTTGATTTTCAGTCTTTTCTCTTCTTCAGAAAGGCTGTAATATTTCTAGATTTCTACTGTTCCGTGTCAGAGTTAGCGCTCTCCTATTGTAAGGCTGTGTTTTCTTTTTGAATCGTATGAAATTTCAAGCTTGTATAGAAGATGATATAAATCAAAAGCATGAACAATTTGATACAAATAGTTATTTGTAACATAACCTCAAAATAAAGAGCTGATACGGAACAGTAGAAAATTAAGAAAATCAAGGAGGCCATAAAGGCGTCCTACAATTGTAGGAACTACTGACGATACTACCGGCTTTTCATTGGTCCAATTTGTGCCAGAGCTGAATAGGCGCAAAATTTGATTCCCTCCGGTCAACAGTAAAATCGGTCCTTATTGTCCTATCGGCACTCAGGTGGAAGAAAAAAAGCGCGCTATCAACGAAGCTGAGCGCAACAGACTGGAGTTCATCCTGAAACGGAATCAAGAACGAGAGCAGCGAATCGAAGCGAAAAAGCGGAATGAGCGAAGCAGCGCGGTGTTCGCTTTTGGTAGCTCGACTCCAAGAATGCTGGAGCCCAGCGATTTGACGGTGTCGTTTTGGGGCAACCGAAGGGCTACGTCGATACAGAACATCACCAGCGCTGCCCAACCATCGCTGACCAGGAGACAGTCCGAAAGAGACCTTGATCTGGCCGGGAAGAAACGGGCTACGTCTGCCACTGGGTTGGAGAGGTCTACGGATGGTATGTGGCATTTGTACATTAGATAATCTGGGACGCCGAATTCGAATTTGTAGGACTAAAATACAGGGTGTCCGATTTTAATGTATACATCTAAATGTTTCGAAAAGTGCGCATTCTAGAAAAAAAGTTCCAATTTGTAGGAGGCAAAATGATGGTGACCTTGACCAAGGTCAAGTGAACATTTTCAAATAGAATTGACAGGAGGGGGAAATTTTACATCCAAACATGACCATCACCAAGACAAGCTACAATTTTTTCCTCATTTTCACCTCTCACGCCTACTGGCGGTTTCAGACGATCCTGATCATTTTCGGAAAAAAAATTGAAGGGGGCTCAGGGGTTGCAGGGAGGAGGAGGAGGAGGAGGAGGATGATATATCTCAACCTTTTGGCATTGGTATATTTATATGCTTCCAACCCCAGTAATTCTACGCACATTTCACTCATCATAGATGACCCCCCTTAAACCTTAGAAATATCTCCTACAGTTGGTTGCCGATACGTACGAAATCGTTCCCCGATGGACAAGCGTCGTCATCGGTGGTCGTAAACACAGTCGACGATCGCTCCCACACTGGCTGCGTGCACTGTGCATGATGAAGGCCAATATCGTCATTCACGCGGGATTGGTCACCGTAACGATCTGAGTATATGAAAATGTTTGATCTCAGGATATTGGGGGCCTCTTTGGCTGATTTGATCCATTAAACTTTTGCTGAATTTAATCTTTTATGAACTGATAATAATAATAAAGTATTTGTTGCCCAACAGCACAGATACCATTCAGATGCAGTACATAGTACAATTGTTTAATTTACACAGTCTGTGTGCCATAAAGTGAAACAAAAAAAACACAAAAAAGAGAGGCGCTTCAAGTAAAGAGAAAAGAAACTATGAGTATAACGCATAAGCATTTGCTTCTTGCGGGTTTGTGTATGTTTATTGCGGGATTAATAGATATTAGGAAAAAAGAATTCATAGCTATATCATGTAATGTTCAAACATAATGTTTAACAAACGAAAACATCTAGAGAAAGGGGAAAAAAATTCAAAGATGTGAGCGTACAGCACTTCTTAATTCCTGAAATCCACAACAGAAACCCAATCCTATTCGCATTATTGCACATAAAGTTTATTGGTCTTTTAGATAGAAGATGTGTGTGTGTCCTCTTGCAGAAAATCAAAACTTTATATTTGGATGTCATTCTAGGTACCAGGAAATCAGTTTGCGATAGCAAAACAGGGCAGTCGATGTTACCAAGCAGCGGGCAGCGGTGGCCAGTAGTAGACTCTTCGGTCTCCTGATCAGTCGCCGTGCGCTATGCGGGTTCGAATCCCGTCCCACGAGAAATTTTTCTCTTGGCTATGGATGTTGTGATTGTCCGTAGGTGGTAGACGGTCGTTGACTGTCGAACGCGGAGGTACCACCCGGCGGATCTCGTAGGCGGAGCCAGAGTGTGTGAATGTTGCATGCACACGTGTTCCCTCTCCAGAGTCCGTGTGGCGTTCCCCCTTTTTCCCTGTATCCCCCTATAGCCCCACGGTACCCAGTGGGTGTTTAGGCTTTAGGCCTTCGTGGTAGTTGAAGAATAAAAAAGAAAACAAAGTGATTTATATAATAATATGATCGACGCCTGCTCTCTGCGCTCCTCCAAAGAAGGGACACCAAATCTATTCAATAATAAATAATGAGTAGCCATATCCTCTTGGCGGATGGACTCCATCGCTTCTATAGCATAGGTATTTTAGAAGTTTCTTTGGCACTTTTTCAATATTATTTTTCTAGAGTTCATAGATAAGAGCATCATCAACGATCTCGCAGGAATTCAGAGCGACAAGCCGATCTTTGCCGCTGAGCTGGAAAAGAGAAGACTAGCAACGACTTCCTCTCTGACGAGAGACCTGGAGGTTATCACTGCTTGGGGTCACAACAATCTTGTACAGTTTAATGCTTCCAAAACACAGTACTGTACCTTGACGAACAAAAAGCGTCCTAGTGCTCATCCGGTTTCGATGGATGGCTGAGTTCTGCCAAAGAGCCATTCATTCCGGCTAGTCGGAGTCCAGATCACCGAGGACCTGATCTGGTACGAACACATCTCGTCAATAGCGACAGCTGCTGGGAAAAAGCTAGGCTATTTGTTTAGGGTTAAGAAGTACTTTTATCCGCATGACCTTCTCACTCTACACAAGGCCCAGATAAGGCCTAACCTCGAGTCTTGCTTACAGGTTTGGGGTGCTGCCGCCCCGACTACATTATTTATGCTCGAAGCTGTCCAGAGGACAACTGATCAATGACTCTTCTCTAACAGGCAGTCCCGGGACCCTCTCGCACCGGCGAGCCGTCGGCGATCTAACTCTCTTTTACCGCTACACCAACGGGCTTTGCTCCTCAGAGCTCTCTTCCATGATGTCGTCGCGCGATGTGCCTGCCAGACAGACCCGCCTGACTTTGGCCTCCCATCCTAACCGTATTGAACTTCGTACATCCAGAACTGACCGATACGACAGCTCCTTTGTACCAAGGGTGTCGATATTGTGGAACAATCTACAAGTTCTTCTAACCTTAGGTTCAAAAATCGGATTAACAAAATTTCTTTTGGATCATCATAGCAGTCTCAGAATTTAGGCTTCTGCCTACGCGGCTGCATCGGTATATAAAAAAAGATAGGGCTCCAAATAATTGCACCGTATTCTAATTTACTTATAACAATCACTGAAAATAACTTATTAAGCGTTGCGATATTGAAATTTCTACAATATCTGATAATAAAGCCATATTTACGATACGAATTACTTATACTTTCTCTGATGTGGTAGTTAAAGGTGAGCTGACAATCGAAATACACACCCAAATCTTTGAAAGTTTCACACCTTTCCAATACAGAATCATTTATTTTGTATGGGTTAGTAAAATTAGGCTTTGCGGGTGAAGGTTAAAATGCGGCATTTCGAGTTGTTCAAATACAAATTGTTATTGAGACACCATATTTGTAAAAAAAATATTTGTTGTTGGTGGTTTTCACAATTTTGCCAGGTGATGACGTTGTTGCGTAGGAAGTACCCGGTCAACCTACTTCACGCAATTTTTTTACATTCCAGGTTCGGAAGTGGTGATACCAGCAGGTTGTGCAAGCGGTTATATGGGCCGCCGACGCACGGACCTGGTGCCCACGATCCCTTCACGAGACGCATCGTTTAGCTCGTCCCGCAAATCGCTGAACCAGTCACCAGGTAGAGCATACTCAATGTCGCGCTTGGACCAGCTGGCTAGGCCGCGTCGCCCCCACGTGCCCCCAGTGACCGAGAGGGGGCACCAGGGGGGCCACGCGACCAACCCGGTCACCAGGAGCATGAGCCACCTCGCGATCAATGCGCCATCTAGCGGCGGGAGGCTGAGCCTCAGCCGGAGCGTCCACCATTTGCCGGACGCCGCTGGGCCCCCGCAAAGACCCGTCAGGACCACCAGGGCCGTGCAGCTCAGAGAGCAGAAAATGCTGGCCAAAGCAACACAAGCCGGCAACGCTGTCGCTTCCTCCAATTGCAGCGAGGGTATGTCGTGTATCACGGTTACTGTACAGAGCTGCCATTTACAAAAATGTTTACTTGTGGTCACAATTTTTAGGATCGTCTGGAATTTCATGTCATTAAATCTACAAAAAGCTTTGCGAAGTTTGGATGGAGTCGACCGTTTTGTTCCTGAGATAATCCCTATAATAACTTCAAGTGCATTAAATTTTGAGAGAAGTTTTTGGTTTGGAAGTTGCTGAATTCGTGGTTTCCGTCATTTTTTCAAGAAACGGATTGAATTGAGATGAAGATCTGTTTTGGGTAGAATGATGCAAAAATCAAAAAAATTGAATCCCTTAATGACTAAATTAAAATGATCACAACAAAAATACAATAATCACCAGTATGAATCTCATTCTAACTTCTTAAAATATCTTCATCAAAAACAGTCCACAGTGAAAATCATTTTGGCCGGCCGAGTTCCACTATGTACGAGTATGTTAGAAAAATTAGAAATGCGAGGGTTGTTTCAAAAAAGAAAGGTTCCAACATTTTTTTCAGGCACAAGGAACTTTTTATCTGAAAAAACGAATTCACCATTGAAAACGTTGATCTTTCAGCTATTTTTCTCCATAGTCGCCATTTTTTCTATGAATTTTTTTAGACTTGAAATACACTTTTGCACTCCCGCCTCAAGGAAGTTCGTCTCGAACCGTTGACCGCCTAGGTGCTTCTTCAATTCCGGAAACGCTGTCAGGTCCTTGGTTTGTTGTGAGACATTAGTATGCGCATTGTTGTGGTGCAGTTTTACTCTTTTGTCAGTTTTCCCCTATGGTGATTTTGGATTGCTCGTCTCGGCTTTTTCAGAAGCCTCAGGAATTTCAACCGCCTGTTCCCGGATCCTAGTTCGCCGATATTCGAGCGCGGATGTTCGTGCGGCCGTTAATGCACTCTCTTCACCATTTGGGGACATGTTGAATGCTTATACACGTTTCTCTATATACTTTACGCAAGTGGCGATGAATTTCTATGGGTGGTAACGTCGGCGATGAAAGGCTCCATTGCGCATGGCTCTCGGACCGGTACTGAGCATCGCAAATCGGCGCTTCTTGTTGGGATGAGTGGTGGGGGAGCCGACAAACACGACGGTATTTCCAAAGTTCGCCTAGCATCACACGCAGCAAAGATACAGCGTTGGGAACCTTATTTTTGAGACAATACTTGTAGTACTCCCACGTTGCCTGGCAACTACAGCAGCAGGGAAGATCTGCGGAAACTTGCTGCATTGCCAAATGTTATATCTTTTTCTTGAATGGAATGTATGTGATCATCAATTTTTTGTAGATATGAAATGGGCAGCTCTGTATTTGTATAAAGTAACATCTGGAGGTGGATCTAACTCCGTTTAGGGGCAAGTTTCATGGATTGCATTTCACGTTTTTTTGCTCTGGATGCTGTTTAACACATGATAGCAATATAGGAATGCATTTCGGTATCGTTTGTAGATAGTAAATGTTAATTTTGAAATCACATAACACCAATGATTGTTTATTTCATATTTTCAAATCTTTCAAGTTGATATCAATCAAGATTGCAGTGTCAGGATTCATTTATCTAGTTTTAATCTAAAAAAAATGTTTGATTATCCAATATCCCTATCAGTGTTATACTATAAATGGTGCATCCCGATTTTAATGTAAAAACGATTGAAGCTACAGTACTTTGGGTATTAGTTCATTGTAGTTATGCTGTTAGTTACTTCAGGATTGAGCTATTATATGTTTTATTTGTGCTTATGGGTCGTATCATTTAGTTTTAGATGGGTGATACTCCTCCTGTATGTTGATATGTGTAAACAGCCTCTTAGCTGAAAACTGAACTGTTTCTTCCAAATTAGCACCTATTACACGACATGTCTAGAGGTTTGGTTGCACTGCAAATACAATCAGGAGCGTAGCCAAAGAAAAAATTTTTAAGAGTTGCAAACCCTAAATTTGAGTTTTACAATGGTTTACGAATCTTTGGCTATGCTCCTGAATTCAGCAAAGAGCACATTTCTGCTTTTACTCATTATACTTTGAAACCACTATACTAGAAAATTCCACAAAAAAATCATATAATCATAGCTGTACGGATTTGCTATACAAAATTTTCGCGCTCTAAATTCGGACATTAAAGTAATTTTGGGTATTGGATTTGAATATGATCATGGAAAACATTTAAGTATCGTGGGCCGTATTTCAGGAAGAAAATTGGTCGCTTGGGACTCTTATTAATGTCAGCACCAATTTCAACTCTGATTGTAAAAAAATTGTAAGACACGTTTTTAATAAATAGAATTACTGCTGATATCTCGAAAACGAGACATTGCGGGATCAAATCGACCGCTGATTTAATTTCAACAACCCAAAAAATGTATACTGAGCGACAAAAAAGGTAAGCACGTACGTATATTTATTAGAATTCAAGAATTTTTCACATATCGATTCATCTTGCCATGAACAAGTGTGATAAAATGGTCAGGTTTTTCTGTTAAGTTTTTGTGATGGCTGTGTGTATTGTTTGGTGATAAAGAAGCATTCAGTTTTCGTACATTTACGGTGTCAGTTAAATGTTAAATTTCGTGTAACTCATTGAGAAGCCTTTTTGTGATTGCACAAAATGCCTAGAGTGCGTAGAATTCGCCGGGTGTTCCAGCTAAGTGACTTTGAGAGGGGTCGAATCCTTGGGTTACGTGAAGCCGGTCTATTGATAAGAGAAGTTTCTAGGAGGACCAACAGATCCTTATGCAATATACTGCAGTGTGAACCAACGTGGACTCAGGAAGTCCGAGGACAGCGAGCGAGGGGTTCTAGACGTCCCAGAGGGACAAGACCGCCGGTTAAAACTTCTGGCCTTGAGAGACAGATTCAGTAATACTCGAGCCATCGCCAATCAGTTTAAAGAGCATGGAAGGATGGTTGGTATGCGTACGGAATATCGCCGAATACGACAGCTTGGCCTTTTTTCTTATATCCCACATTGCTACCTCTCACAGCTGAACATCGGCGTAACCGTTTGCTCTGATGTAGAGAAAGAATTCTATGAGACCGGGAATGGAATCAGGTGGTCTTTAGTGACGAATCCCGGTCCTGTCTGGGGATGCACGATGCTCGGGCAAGAGTGAGAAGGCGACGTGGTGAAATGCGTGACCCACAATTTGATATACAACGTCACGTTCACCACACCGTGGGAGTTATGGTATGGGGTGCTATTGCTTATGGCACCAGATCACCACTAATTTTCATCAGAGGCAATATGTCAGCCAAACGCTATATTCAGGAAGTAGTAGGGCCTCAACTTACTCCATACCTAAACACCATCCACAACCAGAGCAAGACAATGCCAGCCCGCATGTTGCCTTCATGGATCAACATCGCGATCAACCGTTTACCTTGGCCACCACGATCGCCTGACCTATATTCAATTGTCTGGGACATAATAGGTCGCAAGCTTTTGAATTTGCAACACCCTCCACAAACTTTAGCAGCTCTTACTCACAAAGTTGCAGTAGCCTGGAATTAGATATCCCAACAGTATATCTGCCACCTTATCAGCACGATGCCCAGGCGTGTCAATGAGTGTATAAGAAATCGTGGATCCTCAACACATTATTGAACCAGCTTCTGCAGTCAGTTGACGAATCAAGCTGAAAATATAATCATTTTACTAGTAAGGGACACCGAACATATATGCCGAAAATTATTTAAATCGGATAAACATACGTAGGAGTTTACCTTTTTTGTCACTCAGTATATTATAAGCATGGTTAGGCTTACATTCCTGACTGACCGACTTTCGAACCTTTTTGCATCGAAATGATCTAAACGCGATTCGAATAACCTCTATTGCACATATTTTGGTTTTCTGAAACCAAATCAGAAGTCATTCTATATATACGAGGGCGGTCCGATAAGTACTAAGCCCACAGAAGAAACACGAAAATCTTGGAAAAGTGGCGATTTATTTATCACTATAGTCTTCTTTTAGCTCGATACACTTGATCTCAAGCCCAATATTTCATGCAGGATATGACCCGCGCGGTCTTTTGACATGCCTACCGTCTCGGCTATCTTGCGCACCTTCAGTCGGCGGTCTGCCAATCGGAGATCGTGGATTTGTCACGTTATCCGCCGTGATAGCCGTTTTCGAGGCACCTGGGCGTGGCTCATCAAAAACCCGTTAAACTAATTTTTTACGGTTGCCATCGAAGGAGAAGAGCCACCCTACACAGCATCCAAGCGCTATTTGATTTCGCTGCGCGATTTCCCTTCCAAAAACAGGAATTGAATCACCGACCCATATTGCTCCTTTTCCATTTTTCTAAAATCGTGGCGCCATCGGGCAGAGTTGCTAACTACTTATCGGATCGCCTTTGTATCTAGTTTAAAAATCCATATCCGTTATTGGGAGTTACATGCAAGCGAAACTTGGTTCAACTAGGTAATTTGAGGCGCTGAATTCGAATATAATCCTAAAAATTGGGGGTAAAAAATTAGCCACTGTTTGGGACCACCCATTAATGTCAGCAGTGAATTAAAATCGGGTTCGGAATTTATACAAACGCAAACACGGATTTGTCATGCAAAATTTCCATTTTCGTTGTATTCGTTTACAAGTCTACATCATAATTTTCCAAATAATCTCAAAACACTTGATATTATTTTAGCTTCTGTTATTTTTCCTCAGATCAAGCAAAGCTTTGCACCATTTGCCGTACTAAGATTATTCTATAGCACACGAAGTTAGCATGACCCTGCTTAGGTAATATTTGCTGCTTTTCAGGTGGTAATCGGAGACGGGTTACAGGTATTTACTTATCTTCTATCACTAATTGTTAATAATAGCTCTAGGTGGTGGCTCATAGCTTCCTTTTTAGATTTAGGTATATGACGCTTCTCACGTATTCCCGTACTAGTGTATCATTCTAGGTGCTACAAAGGTATTTGGTTCAAATCTTCATTATACATATTACTAGTTTGATGTTTGAACTAGTGCTACAGAAAAATATACTGTATGCTGATGATATTTTTATCTTTGTACGATTGTTGAATATATGTTCCGTGTTTATATCAGTGTTCATGTGAAAATGCCTTAGAATGTTTGGAAATTTCGCATACTTGATATCTTTACATTTTTATTATGTAGTATATGATAAACATACTGGGCGAACTCTGTGGATAATGCATCATTTATGTTTTGTGTTAACGTTGCACGTTGATATGTACATACAAGATAACATATTTTTTTCGTGCCATCGCTTAAGATGGGGTTCACAGGATAATTAGGTTAGGAAAAACTTGAATTTCAAATTCTTTAGATACTAAACTGCTAAGGGAGAACACGATTTACGAATAAAGTCTAGTTTCATAAAGTTATTCCTAAAATCCATAGGTCATCCCCTAGTGTGAAATTTGAATGATTCCTTGTCTCAAATACCCTGCGTACTTAGCCATGAAAAATGTGCCAATAACATCACTGTATACAGTGAAATTCCCATTCGCGGGCACCCCTCTTACACGGATACCTCCTTTAAACGGACAGTTTCTCATGGTCCTAACCGACTCTCATATAATTTGCATTGTATTAACTCTTTCTTGGACGGACATTCTCTTGAACGGGCGCGGACACAAGAAAATGTTCACCTAACTAGACAAAAACAGAATTAAAAGAAACGCCTTGTCTTATTTTTTTTTCTCTTGAGAGTATCGTTATTTGATTTCTCAATCATGCCGCGCGCCATATTCGCTGGAACGTTCTCGAGTAAATCGGAAATTTACCGACCTAATCTTTCGGACATGTGGTGCATTTTTTCCCCAAGTGCACCGGGGATTTATTTTTATTCTTTAAATTTCCATTCAGTATTAGTCTGACGTCTATGCAGAAAAGACACAGCGAGCGACACATTCATTGTAGAAATGGCTCAAAACTATGACAGAGTAGTTGCAGGACCTAGATTGGAAAATGGCTAAAGAAAAAAGAAACATTTTGTTATTTTTAGATAATGTGGTACTCATCCAAAAGACATTCGCTTAAACAATATAAAAATCTATATTTTTGCCCCCTATTTGTGCATCAGCTTGTCAACCACTTGCCCGAGGGATAATGAATAGTTTTTAAACTTATTACCGAAGTCTAGTACTCAAACACTTGCTAATAAACATTGAAACTGCTGGTACAGCTTTTGGCTTAATAAAGAAAATTTTGGATTCAGTTTATTTGGCAAAAACCGCTTGGGACCAAGTAACCAAAGAAACAGTGCAAAATTGCGTCCTCAATGCAGGATTTAAGCATTAAAATATGCAAAATGAAGACCAGTTACATGAGGCTGATCACCTGACCCAGAAGATGACTTACCACTTAATGTGCTTTCAGATATAAAAAAAAAGAATTCATTGAAATTGACTGATAATGAAAACCTGATGATTTTTTGAACCTAGACGAAAGTTTGTATGTGGAAGATCCAGATTCAGGCCGACAAATTGAAAATTCAGTTGAAATACAAGAACTTTCCGAAGATTCTGATGTCGATGAGAGATTCCAATACCAACAGAAGCTATACCAAATTATGCTATTACCCTGACCAAGCAGCTCAAAATTTTTGTCAAAAATCGGGGAGATACAGAATCTTTGGAGCTTCTTTTTAAATTAGAAATACGATTTCAGGAGGCATTTTTAAAGAAAAAGAGGAGACAAACGACAATATATGTATTTTTGCTTCCTTAAAGTGACTTTTTATTTCATTGTTGTGTTACTGCATATGTACATGTGTACATACATATTATAGTATACTTATGTATGTACATACCTTGTATATATCTAAAGATAACAAACCTTTTTTCCTTAAAATTGAAGTTATTTTTGTTCATTTTGAAACATTTACGTTTTAAATGTCCCAGTTTCTTTAATATATTCATGTTTCATTAAAAACACGATTTTTGTTGTATTTCGTTTATACGGACACTTTCTAGACCGGACACTTTCAGTCGGTCCCGTTGGTATCCGTCCAAAGGTGATTTCACTGTATATAATGAAAGAGACTGCGAAATTGGCTTTCCCAAAAGTTGATACATCTAACTCGAACCGTAATTTTTCGTTCAAAAATAATGGCATATTAATGTGAACATGTCAGTTCGCCCAGTATTGCAGTAATGCATGCACTTTTATTGTCCAACGAATACTTAACGAAAATTAACGATTTTTTTTTATAAATAGCATCTTCTAGGCCAAGCAGCTCTCTTAGCCAACAAAGCACAAACAGTGTGGCTAGTTCGATCAGTGTGAGACATAGGATTTCAACAACTCCTAGAAAGCCTAGACCAGTAAGTGTACAGTTCGCAAAAAATATCGATTCTTGGAGTCACTTTATAAAAGGCTTTCATTTATAGCTTCATTTTTAAGAAGAAAAAAATACAAAAACAATCAGCTCCATCGGGCTACTTTTATTTTGGATGTTATATGACGAAAAACCATGTCACTCATTTCCGTCAGTTTGTCTGTCTGTCGATCTGTCTGCTAATTTTATTATTTTGGTCAAATTTTTACCTGCTAAGGACAAAAACGCTTTGTAGTTTTTGGAAGTTGGTCCAGTGGCGGCGGAGTGAGGGGCGAAAAAGTAGAAGTTGCTCCAACTTCGTTTTTTGACGTTTCAGAAGCTCCTGATCAGTTTCGGAAAAAATATGGGTATTGGGGGTTGTAAATATTACGTCTTTAGTGTCAGTTAGAGATGTTCTATGATTAAGAAGCTTCTGATCCCGATAACAGTGAGAAAATTGAATGATAAAAGTTCGATGTATAATGTGCTCATAATTGTTACATATATATATAGGGTGACGGGAAAATAGATGCGAAGCCGGTGGGGGGAGATAGTACAAGCCAATTTGAGTCGATTTTACTATAGGAAATACTGCCCGAAAATTAGCCGTTTTCGGATTATACTAATTTTTAAGGTTTTATAAAATTAACGTCCTTTACGTTAAACAAGTCATAAAACTTGAAAATTGGGTGTTTCATTTGATTTTTTTTTGTTTTACATTAAAAATATTCTAAAATACGAAAATTGATACTAAAATGTACATTATTGACGCTATCTCATGCAGTAAGCTTCAAAATAGTTCGATTTTTGTTAGAAAAATCTTCGTTCATATCAAAAGCTCCAGTTTACTAGAAACAGTCGCATACAAATTTTTCGTTCAAAACAATTAGAAAACATCTACGATTCATTACCGTTCAAATGAGGTATAAGAACAACAAATCGATTAAGAAGTGGCAAAAATATGACTATTATAAGAGGAGGAAGGAAAAACCAATAAAAATAGTACACTTACAAAATCATACCTTAATACAGGATAATTTGTTTGAAACTGCATTTTTTTATTTTTATAATACATTGTCAATATTTGCTGATTTTACTACCGCCGAATTCCTATTATCCTATTTCTGAGGTCTTCTATTGTGGGTTCAGGATTTTGATCAGAGTATACTAAAGTTTTCATGCGACCCCATCCACACAAAAAGTCCATAGGTGTGAGATCGGGACTGCGTGCTGGCCATGGGATTGGTCCGCCTCTACCGATCCATCGATTCGGAAACTTCTCATTTAACCAATTTCTAACACTTAGTCTGAAATGTGCTAGGCACCCGTTGTGCTGAAAAATCATCTGTGTCTTGTATGTAGCGGCACGTCTTCAAGTAATTCAAATAGAACATTTCTTAAGAAATTTTCGTAGGCTTCTCCATTTAAGTTGTCGGGTAGTAAATGTGGTCCTACCAAACGTTATTTATAATGCCCATCCAGACATTCAGACAAAATCGACTTTGAGATCGTTTTGGTCTCTTCATATGAGGATTTCCCACTGCACGTTCACGCCAATAGTGAGCGTTATGGTATTTGTTATGCCGTCTTTATCAAATTTTGATTCGTCGGTCCATATAATTTTTCTTAAATAATCTTCAACATCAGCGTTTAAAATAAAACGAAAAAATTGCTTGCGCCTCATGGGATCTCCTTCCTCTATGAAGTGCACAGGTGTGTAGTGGTAAGGGTGGAATATGTTTTCATGCAAAACATACCACACTTGCCATTGGGATAATCCAAGCCGTCGAGCCACCGCGCGAGTAGAGAGAGTAGGTAGGGTCTCTTTGGAAAATATTTAATATTTCTTCTTCTATCACATCTTGTCGAGGTCTACCTGCATCACCTGAAATATAATGAAAAAACAAATAACAACAGTTTTTTGGAGGAAATTGTTAACTAATAAACATAGCTTTAAGACTATGAGCTAGAGTTGGCAAAATATTCTTTAGAAAAAACGTTACACAACGTGTGGATGTTTCCATCTTCAGAGCCGTGTAGATGCTCGTGTTAAAATCAAATGAATAAACTCTTAATTAAGAAGTTCAATCAACTGTATCAAAGCAACTGTGTTATAGTATCATCAGTTCAGCCCACAGACCTCCAAGGCTCTGCATAGGCTTACTGAATGAATGATTATGATAAGTTAAACTTACCTTGATATCTTACGACTGTACCGCGCTCTCGAACCCGACGCAACGTTTTGCCTAAATACGCGGGCGTCGGATAGGCGACGATTAGGAAACATTTCCCCATACTCACGACGAGCTTCTTCAGCATTGCCTCTGGTCTCCGTAGAAGAAAAGGATATCGGCATATTCTTCGAAACTGAACGGCCGCCTCCTTTGTTCATTAGCCATTGTTCATCGAGAGGTAGATCAACGAACAATCAAGTCACACAGCAGCCAAGTCTTAAGGAATCACAGAAAACAGGATACAGTCTAGGTCGTCAGGAAAAGAATCACACACGGAAGTCCAACAAGAGCCAAGTCGTTAGAAATATCAGAACAGCGAGCAAACAAACACATCCGAATGCAACAAATCGCAAGAGCAGATTGAAGCGAGGGAGGGAGGGGGGTGACTAGTCTCACTTATCACACTATTCCGGTGGCAAAGTCCGATGTTCGCGTCTCTTTTCTTTCACTCATATCTTTGTCATTTCTAAACCGGTTTGCGACTTTGATACCTAATTTGAAAGGTAATGAAACGTAGATATTTCAAAAATTGTTTTGCACGCAAAATTTGTAGGCGATTGTTTCTAGTGAATTAAGTTTTTGAGATGAACGAAGATTTTTTTTTAACAAAAATTGAACTATTTTGAAGCTTACTGCATGAGATAACGTCAATAATGTACATTTGAGTATCAATTTTCGTATTTTAGAAAAAAAAATCAAATGAAACACCCAATTTTCAAGTTTTATGACTTGGTTTTATAGTATATAGTATAATTCGAAAACGGCTAATTTTCGGACAGTAGTTCCTATAGTAAAATCGACTCAGATTGGCTTGTACTATCTCCCCCCACCGGCTTCGCATCTATTTTCCCGTCACCCTATATATATATATATATATATATATATAGGTGAAAAATTAAAGCTTCCGCCTTTTGTTGGGTACTTCGACAAAATTTAAGCAAAGAGGACTCTTTGTACTTTTTTTAATTCTCTCTTGTTTTCAATGGACTTTGCCATCATCATCAGGAGCTGCAATTACAATGATAACAGTAGCAATAAAAGTGTAAAATGAATTTAAATTGAATCAACTTACAGTAGTATGTGAGGATGTTGCTAATTGTTGTTTTCGTATAGGATGATGGAAACGTCCAGTAACATGGTGAGAGCTGGATACATGGTACAATGGTTAAAATTATATAAAATATGACAAGACAAGTTAAAGACAGATTAAAAATTATTTAGAAAACATTAGAGCATTACGTCGAGAAGCCACTTGATGATTGCACGTAATGCTCTAATGTTTTCTAAATAATTTTTAATCTGTCTTTAACTTGTCTTGTCAATTTTAACCATTGTACCATGTATCCAGCTCTCACCATGTTACTGGACGTTTCCCTCATCCTATATGAAAACAACAATTAGCAACATCCTCACATACTACTGTAAGTTGATTCAATTTAAATTCATTTTACACTTTTGTTGCTACTGTTATCATTGTAATTGCAGCTCCTGATGATGATGGCAAAGTCCATTGAAAGCTAGAGAGAATTAAAAAAAGTATAAAGAGTCCTCTTTGCTTAAATTTTGTTGAAGTACCCAACAAAAGGCGGAAGCTTTAATTTTTCACCTAACTGGTTTAGACGACAATGACCACGTCTCAAGTTATATATATATATATAAAATCCTTGACCCAGCTACGAGGGTTGTTTCAAATATAAGATTCACACATTTTATTCAGGCACTGGGAATTTTTTATTTGAAAAAAGAATCACCATTGGAAACGTTGATCTTTAAGCGTTTTTTCTTCATAGTCGCCATTTTTTATACGCATTTTTTAGACGTTAAAACCACTTTTGCACTCCCGTCTCAAGGAAGTCCGTCTCGAACCGTTGACCGTCTAGGTGCTTCTTCAATTTCGGAAACGCTATGTCAGGGCTGTAAAGGGGATGGACAATGACTTCCCAGCCAAATTGCTCTATTAGGTTCTTGGTTTGTTGTGAGACATGAGGATGCGCATTGTTGTGGTGCAGTCTTACTCTTTTGTGAGTTTTCCCCTATAATAATTTTGGACTGCCCGTCTCATCTTTTTCAGAAGCCTCAGGAATTTCAACCGCCTGTTCCCGGATCGTGGTTTGCCGATCTTCTAGCGAGATTTGCTCAATCTTCAGCACAACTTCCTCGGAGATCGACGGCCTCCTGCTTCATTGTTCATCGTAGATGTCCGTGAGGCCGTGAGAGCACTCTCTTCACCATTTGAGGACATGTTGAATGCTTATACACGTTTCTCTATGTACTTCACTCAAGTGGCGATGAATTTCTATGTGTGGTAACATGGACGATGCACTCCCGCCGCAAGGAAGTCCGCCGACAGCCCGTTTGGTCGTCCGTCTCGAACTGTTGACCGCCTAGGTGCTTCTTCAATTTCGGAAACGCCATGTCAGGACTGTCAGGGAGATGGGCAACGACTTCCGAGCCAAATCGCTCGATTAAGTCCTTCGTTTGTTGTGAGACATGAGGATGCGCATTATTGTGGTGCATCTTACGCTTGAGTTTTCCCCTACGACGTTTTTGGATTGCCCGTCTCAGCTTGGCAAGGACGAAAGAGCTTTGTAGTTTTTGAAAATCGGTTCAGTGGCGGCGGAAAAAAATGCCAAAAACGTAAAAAATAAAAATCGCCCAAACTTCGTTTTTTTTGATGTTTCAAAGGATCGTCGTTTTTTGAATTTTTTTTTAGAGCATAAAAGTTGGGGATAAGGGCGGAATCTGTTCGGATCGGTCCGACAATAGAGCGAATCCATGGGAACCGAATCCTTTAATGGACTTGGACCTCCCAACATTACTCTACTGCGACATCAATTCGCCGGCAGCATTTTCTCATGTTACGAGGGCCACGCTATATATTTTGAGATATACGAAATCTAAAAACTATTTTTCGAAAACTAGTTTATTTATGTTTGAAGTATTCTCCTCCAGAATCAATGCACTTCTGTAACCTGACCTTCCACAAATGAAATGCTTCTAACCAGTCAGTTTTTGTAATATCTTCAACAAACTGATCAATTGCTTGATCGATTTCTTATTCGGACGAACATTTTCGACCACGCGGATTTTTTTTCAAATTGTTGAACAGCCAGAAGTCACACATTGCCAAATCTGGAGAATAAGGCGTATGTTCTAGCATATTGATGTGACGCTGGCCTAAGAAGTCTACAGTTAGTTGGGCAGTTTGACAACTGTTTTTAAATGAAGATGATCATGCAAAATGGTGTGCACTGTTGCGGATCCTACCCCAAGAGTTGCCTCAATAGTCGCATATGTGCAGCGAGAATCTCCTTCAATTAGCCGCAGAACTTTAGCAATGTTTTCTGCAGTCACACTAGAACATGGCGTACCACTACATTCTTCATCAGCCAATGAAACACGCCTTCTTTTAAATTTGACATACCAGCGAAACATTCTTGCCCGGGATGGAGCTTCATTACCAAATGCGTGTTGTAACCCTTAGATACATTGATGTTCAGTTAAACCGACTTTAAAGTCATAGTAAATCAAAGCGCGGTAACTCGCTCGAGACAACTCCATGTTTCGTCTTAAATTTGTTTACACCACGTGCACTGTAAGATGCTTGCAAATGAACTGAATGCGGCGACTTACTAATAAAGGATTGCTCTTTCTAATAATGCACTGTTGCCGGTTTTAACTAGTATAGTTGATGTGCATCTCAAAATATATAGCGTGCAACTTGTATTTGGTTGGTTTTTGGGTAGTTTGGCCGTCGTTAAATATTTTTATTTGACGTTTCGCCAACACGAGTGGTTGGCATCTTGGATCTAGCTCACAAGGCTCCGAAACGTCAAATAAAAATATTTTACGATGGCCTAACTACCCAAAAACCAACCAAATAACATTGGATGATGGCCGCGAAAGCCTTTCACATTTCAGGTATTTTCTCGTTTTCGGGCCGATAAATTACCCACCTAGATCATGTGATTTGACACCTTTTGACTTTTTCCTTTGGAGCTGTCTGCATGACAAAGGACGATTGAGGGATTATAAATCAGTATTATTCGAGTAATTCACCAAATACCACTCGAATTGCACGAACGCCCCATTGAAAATTGGAATTTCAAATAAATTCCGTTACTCGCAGTTATGGTTAACTTTTGAAACGGTTATATCTGAAAATTTAGTGTCAAATTTACTCCTTAAAGATTGATCACCGTTTTAAACCTACCTCGAGCGACCATTTCACAATTGTCATCACAGGCCTTCACATTTTGGAGAATTTTCAAAATTATCGATATTTTCAAAAACAAAATAATCAAAACTTTCAGAATTTTTATTATTGTCGATCTTTTGGAAATTTTTAAAAGTAGAAATATCCAGTTTCAAAAATTTTCAAAATATTTAATAGTTTTGAAAATGGAAAAAGCGCATTTTCGAAAATTTTACAAATGCCGAAAACCTGTGATGACAACTGTTACACCCTACTGTGAAAGGCAACGTCCCTAAATATCACCTCAAACGTCAGGAATGTTTTTTTGTTATTTGATAAACATAACCCAACAGTTGATTGTTCTTATTTTTTCATGCTCCTGAAAAAAGTACCTCCAAATGAATCACTTTATTTCAATATTCCATCAATTTTGTAGGTGAGTATAGCTGTAACAGGCATCAGTCACGACAAGATCGATAAAGAAACGAAACCTCCGTTGCCAAAAATGAGGTCTGTTAGCAAAACGAAAGATAGAATGACCCCTAGGAAGACTAGTGAAGATATCAATAAAGAAAAAGTGACTAGAGACGTCGTAGGAGAAGCTAAAATTTTAGAAAAAGCAGAAAAAAGTAAGGAGGAACCTAAAATCGGGAAAACTGTGGAAGAAACTCAGAAAAATGCTGCTGCGGTTCAAAAGGATGTGATTCATACAGAAAAAGCGTAAGTTATGTAGTTTTTGTTCAACCTCTGTAACACTGAAGATTCTAGTGATGTTTGTGCGATTCTTGTTTTCGAAGTTCTTGATAATTATATTATCTTGTTTCATTTCAGAGAGCCTGTATCAAAACCAGAATCACAGCCAATTGCTACCGAGACAGATACTAAAGAAATTTTGAATAAGACCCAAAAAAAAGAATTGAAAGAACCCGAACCTCCCAAAATTGCTGAGCAACCAATACCAGAACCCCAAGAAGAAACGACACTTGTCCTGGAAAGCAAAGAAAAGGGAATTACAGATAAAGACGTCAAGGAGAAGGAACAAGACGAAAAAGAGCTTAAAGAAAAAATAAACGAAAACGAAAAACCGAAATCGGATGAACAAGAAAATACTCTAAATGCTGAAAGCAGTGAAATGACAACGTCGCTTAGCAAAGTTCGCATAAGCACCGAAGAAGAAGCTAAAGCAGCCATAGCAGAAAAAAGGAGGAGAATGCGAGAAGAAGCAGAGAGGCAAGCAGAACTTGAAAGGCAGAGGCTAGAAGCTGAGGCCAAGGCTGAACTTGAAAGACAACAAAGAGAGGAAGAACAGGTTCGACAATTGATCGAAATGCAAAGGCAAGCCGAGCAAGAACGATTACAAGAGGTAACTAAGCCTTCTCAAGAACTAGATGTCTTTTTACAGCGAGGGGTAGTCTCTTAAGGCGCGAAATTGTTAATTATATGCAAACTGTTTTTGGGGGATTTAGGTGTTATTTGACAAAGTAAAATAATATTTAAGCAATTAGTTAATGTTCATGTTTTAATATTAAAAAGAGAATATATCAAATATGGCTGTTTTCAGAATTTCGGATTTTTCCACATCAAGTCTAACCAATAGTATGTCTTTACCGAGGACTGATTTGGTCCATTTAATTTCTGTTTGATCATTTTCGTAACTGACGTTTATCTCAGAGGACTTAAATTGCGCTGAACTTAATCCTTTATGAACTGATGACGGAAGAGTCATTTTTTTATTTGCTTACTCTAATCTGATTCTAGGCTATAAGAGAAGCTCAAAAGAGGGAGGAAGAAGAAAGATTAAGGAAAGAAGAGGAACAGAGATTGAAGCTTCTGAAAGAAGAAGCTGAAAGGAAAGCAAAGGAAGATGCTGAAAGGCAAAAAGCCGAGTTGCAAGAAAGGCTAAGGAATGAAGAAAGGGAAAGGGAAGCTCGTAGGAAGAGGGTTGAGGCAATTATGTTGAGAACTAGGGGGAAGAATAACGCCAATTTAACGTCACAAGTAAGTTTGATCTCAAATTGGCAGATGCGCAAGCTTTAATTAAATTTCTTGCTGTTATCTCGAAAACGGTTCATTGGGTCTATTGAATAAAAAAAAAGAATTGTCTTGGAAGTAAAATCTTATAAGGATAAGTTGATACTTATAAGCACAAGTTATTTCTCATTTTTATTTGAATAAAAATAAGTTTATTCTTAAAAGTTAATACTGGAAAAATCTCCTACAATTAAGTTTTTCTTATAAGTCTTCACTTATTCCTTATCGTAATTATAAGTATTTACTTCGATATCGGTGTTAACGGTTGCGCTTGCAAGACAAGTCACGGCAGGTCTGTATCTTTTTGATATGGTGTGTTCAATGTTAGTTGTTGATCAAGATTTAGGGGTATTGCTATAATCATGCGTCAAGTGAAGAAAATTACTTGTCCAGATTGGCTGCCGGAGACTTATATTCCCCAGGTTATTAAAAAATCATATAGTTCTTTTAAATAAAACAATGATTCCATCGATTGTTCAAGCTAAAGAAAAGGCATGGACGGATATCAAAAGACGGATTTGTCAAGACTTCTGGTATATTTATTACCATCGAGAAATCCTCAATAACATGAAAACAGATGTAATGCAAAAAACCGGTAAAACTAGGACCGGTAACAAAAAAATTTAACTACGTGAGTGGGAAAATGAATTCTTGGAAATACTAAATTATGAAAAAAATCCAGTGTTCGTAAAAGTTCCTGGGGGTTGTTCCATTGGAAGTAAAAACGGAAAAGAGATTCTCCCGAAAATAATTGATCAACCAGTATGAGTTCACAATTACCTCCTTAACCTACAGAAACGATCGACAAGCGCCAAAGGAAGAAAAAATCAAGCAAGAAACTGAAGAAACAGAAAACTTGTCAACGCAAGAGTTACAACGACTTGTTCTACTTGAACAATTAAATGTTGCTAGACTTCAGGCGAAAAGAGAACAACTCATGATAGAAAAACTGACATATGCTATGCCAAAGCCTTATACTACAAATAGTTCTGAGAAAGAAGAAATTACTGGCATTATTTAAATTACTGGTATTATGAACGAGTTACGACAATTCATAGATTTGTTATATACAGATATGTAATTCATTTTCATTTCAACATTTTTTTTTTATTTTGTATTCAAGGATTCATTAAATTAAATATTACAACTACGGAAACTATTCGCAAAATCATCCGGTAGATATTTGCAAATGTTATGTAGAACAGCGCAGCAGACAATAATTTTTGGAGCTTTTGCCAAAGATACTTACACTTTATGATTTAAAATGGGAAATCTCTGTTTCAGGTGCCGAAATACTCTTTCAATTGCGAATCTTTCTTTGGAATGGGAAATATTGAATAGCTAAAAATTACCTCGATATCTGGCCATAATTTCATATTCCAAATTCTGGAATCGTGAAGGCTTCCTAACCACTAACTATCTACATTTTAATCACTTAATTTGCATCACAAGTTACTTGTACATTTATACTCGCAAATCCTTTTCTATTGACATATTCATCACCAAAATCTGAAGGTTTTTTTGATTTGGACATGAGTAGTCTAATGCACCGATGACAGTAGGTGTAACAAATCGATTCGACCATTTTCTTCTTGCTTCTTCCATGCCCTCCAGGTCAGACGGGAACTTTATCCACTGATGAGCTTTTTCAAATATTCTGTCAGCAACATAATCTATATTTTTACATACTGTCGAATTGTGAACGCCAAAATCTTCAGCAATACCTGTTTGAAATCTAGTATCACTAACATACCGCAGAAATATTTCCATTCTTTGCCATGAGGTAAGTGCACCTCCTCTGGTTTCATCCGCCTGCGGTAAAAAATGCTCGGATAGTCTACAGTTTCGCTTTCAAAACGCAATAAAACCTTAGATTTGCTAGGACTTATGCGTTTTCTTTCTCTGTAGTTTTTAGTATTACGAATATTTATTATGGTTTGCCATTATTAAAATTATGCTTCTCTGACAAAAGGATGCGTTGGAGATACCTTAACAGACATGAAGTTAATTCTTACTGATTTTAAGGTTTTCTTTTTTTTATTCAACTAAAAAGAAGGAAATACTGGAAAAACCTATGTGAAGTGTTATGTTTCAAGTAATTACTTGAAACTGAACGAGTTTACTTAACACTATGAATAGACTCTTCTTTATAAAGTAGTTACTGACTTTTTATTCAATGCTTATCAAGTAGATACTCAAATAACAGGAAGTATAAGCAAATACGTTTTTTTATTCAATAGACCCAATAGGTCAGACTAAATGGGCTACTGATTCTGTTTTTGCGACCCAAACAACTTATTATGTCCATTATTGGGTTTATATTCTCGACTGACCCATTTTTTACATTTTTGTAACGTGACACTAAAAGTTTACATGCAGTTTAAATGCACTACTTATTTTGGGTTGCTCAAACAGAGTCCGAAGTTATTCTGAATGTATCTGATCCCGTTTATCAGGTACTTCCTACTATTTAGTGAAAAAATGTAAAACAGTTCGACATCACTGTTTATTAGAAAACTCATTTTTTAAGTATGTCTTTTGTTTCAGAGTACAGATGAAAAAAACGAGAATAAGTCTGACGAGGGTAAAGTGAATGAGGAAAGTAAAATGAATGGCACTAAAATAGAACAACAAGAAAACGATACCACAAATATCGATAAACAATCGGAAATAGTGGATAATATGTAGGTATAGCAGTCTTGTATTTTGTGGTGCTAATTCTAATAGTGTTGTTTTTTAGCATGCAAGAGGATATAATAAAAAATGCCAACACGATTGAATCAATGAATAAAACCGATTCTATAAATTCGAACAGTGCATGGAGGGATTCGCAACAGTATGGTAATTTTGTATGTAATAATAATAGTTAAAGAGAACAATTTATCTGTATTTTTCAGATTCATTGATGTGAGATACTAATTTATAGATGCATATACATATATATATATATATATATATACGTATATAATAAATGATTAATACTTCGATTGTTCATGTTTGTATACACATGTGATTGTCCAGTAGTGTGTATTATATGTAGATAAAGCATTTCTCGTTCAGAATTAGATAATTTCCGCGGTTAGACACATATTTTTTAAATCAAACATTTTTTCTATGCGCGTTATTAGATTCCTGGATATTGTGATATTTTGGATGAGAAATACCAAGCCACTGTACTCAAAAGGTACTGAATAGCACAGGTGTGATCACCTGTTCAATTTGAGTACACAGGCTCGGAGGATTGTGAGCTTAACTCCAAGGAATGTTTGGAAACAACAATGAAAACGAGACAGTAAAAAATTACTAAATGATGTAAAATTGATCTACTTGGGGCCGATCAGCCTTGTCGTTTCTTGGGATTTTATTTTGAAGGCGCCTTATTTGCTTTGTCACTGTAAAGCGACACGAGAGTTTTCTAATATCAGTGAAGACGACCTTGTTGATCTGAGTTCTCCTTACCTCTGGTTTTTTTAAAAGACCTATTTATGTAAAATTAGTATGAATCCCTGTTTTCTTTGACATGCATATTTTACGATTATTTGATAATTTGAAATTGAAATTTTACTTTTATTTATCACGTTTTGGCTTTTTAGCCCCCGCTTAGCGGCGTATAGTGAACTCCCACATAAATAATTTTTCAACTTCGATTTAAAAATATTTAAGTTGACACATTCCTTAATACAGTTCGGTAAATTATTTAAAAATTTCAAATTCACATTTGCTGATCTTTTTTTTATATTTAATTTGCAATATGGCAAGTGAAAATCATTTCTACATCGAGAGTTATAACTGTGTAAATCGGAATTTCTTAAAAAGATCTGCTCTATTAGCAAATGTATAAATATACGTTTGATAAATAACGACGGCACAGTGAACATTTTGAATCTAGAAAACAAATTTCTACACGAATGAGTTGAAACACCGGCTGTAATTCTCACTATGTTTTTCTGAGCAATAAACGGTTCTCCTCTCTTCACCGTGGGTATGCTTATTCCTTGATTTTATTATTATTAGTACTTCAACGGCAGACGGAAAACTCCAACTACCACGAAGGCCTAAGGCCTAAACACCCATGGGGTACCGTGGGGATTCAGGGGAAAGGCGGAACGCCACACGGACTTTGGCGAGGGAATACGTGTGCATGCAACATGCACACATTCTGACCCCACCTACGAGATCCGCCGGGTGGTACCTCACAGTCAGAGACCGTCTACCACCTACGGTTGCGTAAAGTCTTTTTTATGCTAGATAATACACGAAACGTGCTGCTCTGCCTTCTAGTTCCTTATTCAGCTTATTCTTGAGTAAATTGACAGTTGTTGCACCCACTGTTTCTTCACTCTAAGAGTTCCACGAGTATACCACAAGATTTGAAATGAAATTTCTGCTTATCAACTTAGATGTTGTCCCTTTTTCTAATTTTTTGGTCTTCTTCGGGATGAAGATTGTGACTCATCATAAAATGTTCTTTACAAGATTTATCGATTTCAAATTTATATTTACTCAATAAATTCACACCACGCCAACTTGATAATTTTTCAACTTCAATTCAAAAATATTTAAATTGACACATACCTTACCAAAATATTTGACGATCTCTTTTTTATGTTTAATTTGCAATGTGGCAAGAGAAAATCATTTCTGCATCGAGAATTATAACTATGTAAATCGAAATTTCTAAAAAACTTGCTCTATTACCAAATATATAGATATACATTTGATATGTAACGACGTCACAGTGAAAATTTTAAATCTAGAAAACAGGTTTCCACACGAATAAGTTGATGAACCGACGGCTATAATCCTCATTATTTTTTGTTGTTGCAATAAACACGTCCCTAGATGCAGATACAAAACTAATAACAAAATGTAACTTTTAAATTTACGATTTTGGTGTTCTATACATTCCTTGGAGTTTCATATTGGAAATATGGACCATATGTATTGTTGTATACTCTTAGGCATATTTTGTTTTTTGAGACTGTGTATACAAATAAAGATAATAGCTACATAGGAATATATGGCATATTATTAATTGGTTATTTGTATAAGGATGGAATTTCGGCAGTTTATATTTTTAAACGTTTGTAAATGATTTGTTTTATGTATATATAAAATGTATCTTATTTGTTTAATTCGTCATAGTAATGTTTTTTTGAATTGCTTTTCCGAAGATAACGTCACTATTTCAAAGAGTGCTGGGTACTGCTGTTATGATTCTGCCAACAAGTTTTTTAATAGAGCATTGGAATCCAGTAAAATTTACTTATAGATTTCTTCAATATTCACTAGAGTATAATTTGGTCATTATAGCAGTATCCCAATCAGCATAAAGAAAAATAAAATAAGGTAATTAGAGTTGGTCATGGTACACTTTGATGTCATAAAATTTTATTATTTCCTATATTAAAATGGTAAAAAGCTGAAGCTAATTGACTATATGCTTCTGACGCATTCGTCACGACAGAATTTAAAAAAAATTGGATCGAATGTATTCTGAGATAATATTTTGCCACTCAAGAATCTGGTCAATCACCAGATATAGCCATGATGACATTTTTTGATAATACTACAAATTCGAAACTACATTACCAAGAATTTTTTTAAACGCGTCTCTTGGATGCCCCTTAACATGAAGCAAAAGAGTCTGGGCGTTAACTTTGTTCAAACAATCTGTTGAACAAATTACAGAAATTGTTTTTTTAGACCCGGACAAAGTTTTTCTGATCATTCCGAACAAAAAAATGTCTCTATATTTGGCCGTTTTCTAGCTGAGCAATTCAATGTTTGAAAAACCTTAGAACACAATGCTTGAAAATTCGTTTAAATATTACTATTCTTGAGGTTAAAATTGAAGTGCAAACTTCCCCCTACAAGACCCTGAAGAGTATGTCAGGCTTAGCATTGTTTAACCTTGCTTGGTAGGCTAATCAGAGGTGAACTAATTCAAGTGTACAATGACTACCTTCCTCAAAGTTTTGTTATAGAATACCTATATAGGCTTGGAAATTTCGATCAAAAGCACGTGGATATAATTCTTTAGTGATACTGCTGCTTTTGATCGTCATTACAAACATTTTCATTATTTTGTAATTTTGTTGACAAACTCGGTCTGTACTAGTCATCTTGATTATATGTAAAATTGTTGTGTAATTTTATTATTATATTCATCTGCTTGGGTACAACAGCCTATCTACTTTTTATTGATACGGCAGTTTTTAATTTATATCTTTTCGCATTTTTTGTAGGTTCTATTGAGGCGGATATTTTTTAACAATTTTGTTTTTCATCTTGAATAGATCGGAGTGAGATTAAGGGTAATTTGTTATGACGGAAATTGTATATCAAAGATCGATTTATTAGATGTGAAATATGTTATATAACGCGTGTAAATCATATACGAGTAAATGTCAGTTTACAGCTGGCATCACTTAACACAATACATGTAACAAAATTTTTTGATATCAATAGTTTACGAAAGCACACAATTTCACAATGTGTTCATTGCCGTGAACATTGGAGATCACCATCCACAAACTATTAAAGGTGCGGCAATCATTTGTGTTGAACCCTTTATTGTGAGTCTATAAGTGTTCCAAGTCATCAACATCCTCCACTCCTCCGGGTGGTACCTCCACGCTCGGCGGTCTGAAACCATCAACCACCTGCAAACCAACATCCAAAGCAACGAGAAACATCCTTTTGGGACAGGATTCGAATTTGTGCAGCTCACGGCGACTTGTTAGTAGACCCTTAGATTAAATCATCATCAATATAGATCAAGTTTGATTCCGGAGGATTGTGTTAACGATTAACATCAAGCAACATCACACAGTAACAAAAAAGAATTCAAAATACAATGGAATATACTCCATGCGACTACTTGGCTGTCACTCTATGCTTGTCTGGTTATGACTCGTAAATTTATATTTTCATTGAAGTGCGTTCTCACGGGGCAAAAGTGTGAGCGAGTAAAAACTGAACTAGTGAGGGTCGATCACGATTCAGTTTATTCTATAAAGCCGACCATGAAGAAGCTTCTGGTTGGAGGCTGTGCAGTTTTGAGTACAGTTTGTAGTCCTATGTTAGCGAGAAGGTTCAATCACATGGGCAGATAGAAAATGGTAGAAAATGCATTGGTTGGGTCAGGAAGTGGATAAATCCGGGGAACACAGTTTGACAGACGCTTGCTATGCTACAGATGTTTGAATTTTAGTTTGATTTCTTCCTAGAACGCGTTACACCTGACATTTCAGTCACATACCAACATTACGATCTGCCATGCCCTTGACTGGCATGTCAACGCCTGAAAATCAAATGTGTTTGATACTGAGTGTGAGCGGTCGTAGATTCCTTTTATTCGCTGACGTCAGAAGCAAACTCGACACTGTCGAGATAATTTCACGAATGCGAGAATCACGCTAACATACGGAGTCCTATACATTGTTCAACAATTCTGCGTACTAAAGCCTGTATGATTTTTTTGTACTCTGCCGTGCCTACCTGGGACCTATAACACAAACACTACAAGCTTTGCAAGCTACAAGGAATTTGCCGTACTTACAAGTCTTACGTAACACAATATTTTGAATTTGAACGTATATAGCTACACTTGTAATTAAAAGTAGACGAAATGAGTAATGTATTAACAATTGTACCTACATACATAATATGTAGCCTGCGTCACCACCCGTAAAAACTTGTTAGGTCATATTTTCGGTAGATTTTGTGATTTAAGACCATATCTTCTAACGACACCATAGGTATATGCCTCTTGACTCTACGCATATCTACTAAACTGACGTGAAGACATATTGTTTTTAATGCAAAATGCATTTTTTAAATAAAATAAAAAACGTCATATTTGACGCTATTTTCCAAAAGACAAAAAACATATAGTGTTGTCATTATCAATCCCTACCCAGAGATATAAGTAAATCTTCGATCGTAAGATATTCTGTATCACAATCCTACAAGTGTGAACGTTGTTTTACAGAATATGCCTAAAATTTCTTACGTAATTACTGGCGCCTCACAGGCAGTTACAAGAGGTCACCCAACTGCCAGAATTGACCACTACGAGAGTGAATAGCAGCTATTTATTGGAACTGTAAAGTATCTCGGTTTGCATCGAAAGCAAACTCGTCACTGTGACCGCATGATTCCGTCGACTCTGCCTTTGAAAACTTATAATACAGCAGGGCCAACCATGTATAGGTGTTTCACGCCTATTATCAATCATCAGCAGGGTCTAGGCTTGGTTCCTAGGTAGGACAATGAACGGAAGCAGAAAAAAGTATCGTCGCCAAAGGTATAAGGTCTATCCAAATATGATCGCACATGTGCCTGATAGTATCAGAATCGACCACTGCACGAGTAACTAGTAGCTATTTGTTGAAACTGTAAAGGTATCTCAGTTCGCATCGAAAGCCGAGTCCATACTGTGGCCGCTTATTGCTGTCGATTCTGGAGATTTAGTAGTTGATAGTCTACTTGACATTGAAAACTTATAATACTCCTTTAGTCTGCCCCACTAACAGATGATCACACAAGTGCCATTTCTCATATTTGGATAGACCTTATACCTCTAATAGAGGATACTTTGATCTGCTTGATGATAAGCATTAAACAGCCGTTGGTCGGACAGACGACAGCTGTATCAGTTATAAGTAGTATGTTATGACCTAGTTGCGATTTTAAAGGAAATTTTTGCTACTGTTCATCTTGTAGTGTTTGTCTTATCGGGCCCTGATCTAATGAAGTTCTAGTTGTATGAAACATTCCGCTGTTATTCGCTATCAAACTCCATTGTACGAATATCTCCGCACATTCGCGTGAGAAGTGGCATGATGTTTTTTCCTCTCGAAGATGAAGTAACTGAAAATTGTCTTCAACTTGGCAAAAGTCAGCTTTATTGAAATAGATTGTCCAAAATTGAGATCCCCAAGGTAAATGTCCCAAATTTCGGCATATTAACTTTTCATTTCTAGATTTTTTAACAATTATGTAGGGATAAAACTTTTTTTTGTGAAGGCAGGCATTTTGATTTAAAGTGCAAAACCCTTGTTGTTTTAGTTTGCAGCGTCCTTTCAAAAAAAGTTTAAGCAACCCTGCATATAAGTTTATTTAGTCACAAAATTTCGCATTGTCTCTAGCTTCGTGAGATAACTAGGATTAAATTTGAATAAAGATAAACAGTTCTGATAATAAACGAAATAATTAATCGTATTACGTGTACAAAATATTTTTGTCAGTCCCACCAATAAATCACAAAGATAGGGATCAACAAACTAAAAAGTAAGAACATCATGATAAACTACATGTCTAGCTGACCGTTATATCACATAATAAAAAATATATATATATATAGACACTCATGCTAGGGTGAACATAAAATCTCTCAAAACAATAATTCCAAACGAAAGTCAAATTCCATAACATCTTTAAATCAACAGCAGAAAACAAAACTATTTTTGTACTGTCAATCTTTGTACTTGGAATATTATGAACGTAAATTTGTATGTCATAAATATTCGATATAGAAACAAACACATTACATCTGGTACAGAATAAACACCTCATTTATGAGTGATGATGGGGTCCCTACTATATTGTCTTACCATTCATAAGCCAAAAGGAAAGATAAGAACAACGATAATGGATACCCTAGTGACTTATCTTTGTTTAACAACTCCCCAGTATTGATCTGCATGTGAGTCAATTGTACCATAATTATCCAGTACCTTTATCACAAATTTGACGACAAACAAAAATCATTTTCGTTATTTGCTGTTATTAGTTTTGCAATAAATGTTATGAATTACGAGTAGATGTTTATTGACCATAGAGTAAGTAGCACGCATTCAATAACTGTCGCAGAAAAGGATGCATCAATTCCAGTAAAAACAAGAAAGTATAATTTGTACACATACCCTTAAAGTGTATACCGAAATTCGCTCAAAATAAACAATATATATATTGTCCGTAAAGTAATAGGACTGAGTCGATTTAAAAAAAATTATTGAGCCAATCGCTACAATTCTTTAAACACTTTCAAAATAGGCTCCTTCTGCGTCGATGCAGTGCTATTTCCAAGCATTGAAGGCGTCACGGAAGGCAGTCTCCGGAATAGCCTTGAGAGCCGCCACCTGGATAAGCCTGCTTGATCATATCAAACGTCCCTCTGCTCTAACGAACGCTGCATTTTCGGCTTGCAACACTCACAGAAACACATCGCGCGAAAATGCCTATCTTGACTCTCCAAGTGCTCGGAGACAACTGACCTGCCGCTCATTCGTTAGCTAGGAACGCCCTCTACCGAATCCACGCTCCGAAGTACAGTCATGATGGAAGAAAATGAATCCTATTACTTTCCGGACAATCCCTGTAATTTAAGATACTGCATTAGATGTATATTTTATATTTTGTTACATAGTATTTGCATAACAAATACTAAGCAATACACATTTAATTGAAATAACCTTATTTCGGGAGTAACCCGAATTTAGGGACATAACAAAAATTAAAGAACCTAATTTCGTAAGTCAGATTTTTGCAATTTTTTTATTTCTCCAACTATAAATAGCTTCGTATCTCAAATTGTTGTGAAAATTTTAACAGAAATATCACATATTTTATTCAAATCTACTTATATTGTGGGAAGCTTGAAACATTCAGGGCATTGCCTTACAGCTACAGATACAAGTTGGTTTAGTAAAATATATCACGATTTATTTTGGCGCTTCAACCAAAAACTAAGGAAGTTTTGGACATTTACCTTAGTTCACCACGTCAAATTAGATGTTGATGACTTGTGGAATAGGTGCTCGAGAAACACGGAACTCGTATTTCTCCTTGGTAAAATGTCAAATGTTTATCATGAATTACATATATTCTTTAATTCTTAACCTTAAGAAGTATGTAAGGGTTTCAAAATATGTATGCGACTGTATGTTACCTGTATTCATATTTTTTTTGAATGGTAAATACGTAATAGTCTAAAATTTCAATCAACTAGTTTTATTGTCAATCTACACTACCGTTCAAAAGTATTTGAACGCCCAGAAAACAAGGAAACTGAAGTTATTAAAGAAAACATTACAACATCTGTATGTATTATTTTGGTAATTCTTAACAACATACATACATTTATAACCAATATAATCATATTTTTGACTCATCAATATGTCCTCGTCTGCCCAGTTCATCCCACAGCAACTCTTCAGATTCAAATCCGGGGATTGGGGAGGCCATTGTATGACCTCCAATATATTTTGTTCGTCTTGTTTCCATAAATTGTTTACAAAGCTTGGATGTGTGTTTGAGGTCATTATCATGCTGAAAGACAAACCCCGGACCAATAAGACGAGTCCCAGAAGACATAACATGATTTTGTAGTATGGCTTTGTAACCTTCATTATTCAGTATTCCCTTTAGGCCGACGGCGGACAAATACCCTTCTTGGAACCAAAACCTTCAGATTTCGATTCATTGCTCCAGAGAACTTTCTTCCCCTGCAACTGTCCAATTTTGATGTTGTTTGGCCCAATTCAGTTTTTTTTTGTTAGTAGCCCTGACGAGTGGTTTCTATACTGCTATGCATCCCTTAAGTCCAGCATCGAGTAACTTTGTCTTAACTGTAGTCACACTTCCAGGTTCACTACGGCCCTTAGTCAAGTCGGCGCTGCTATTTCGGGTGCAGTCATGCGGCCATTGCGTTTACTTTTCACTATTATGATTAGTCTTCAGTGGAAGTTGTAACTCTGGATCTCCCTGAACGGCGGCTATTGGATGTTGTGCCTTGAGCCTTAAATTTCTTGATAATGTAGTGTACAGATGACCGTGGTACCTTCTGAAGCTTAGAAATTTCTCGAATACGTTTGCCGGATTTATGAAGACCAATAATAACGCCTTTTATCTCGGAATATTCTTTAGTTTTACCCGTTTTGTACAGAAAAAATAAACGAAAACGAACTTTTTGAACTATTACCTTATAAGGTAATGAAGCACGGTTAGTTTATCAAATGAGACAAGATAACTGAAGTAAAACTGTGTTATGGGTTTACGTATAACGCAAATTAAAAAAAAAATAATCGAAAAACAAATGCGGAGAAAGAATTCATATACAAAAACATAACAATATTCCAAAGGCAAAGAAATTATGTATGGCGAATGCTGAGATCCCAATAATAGTGTGAGCAAAATTTTGATTTCAATGACCTTTCAGTAATGCTTGATATGCATGGTGATGGTTTTCATTAAATAAAGAAAAATAAATACGTACTGAATAGTTTTTTTTGTTTATGATTTTATATGGAAATATGCAGGTGTTCAAATACTTTTGAACGGTAGTGTACGGCCTGAATATTGCTTCTTCCAATTCCTATAAACACATATCAGGCACCAAATATATCTACACACGAACGAATAGGATAAAGGATAAAAAAACTGACTCTGATATTCACTGAGTACATTTCATAAAGCATATACGAATGACAATATGCTGTTCCTTTTCGAAGATCTGGCACGCGTTACGTGGAATGGTTACATTTTTAGGAAAAAATGTGTGCGTATGTGTCAGTTTTGCTTAATCTTCCACCCTTTGTAACCACAAAAAATGTAATAATTCGTGCATTGGGTAAGCCTAGAATGTTTACCATGCATTTCATCGATTTTCAACTTTACCAGTAACATTTTGTATTCATATACTATATATAATTTAATAAATTATTGAGGCAGTTGTAGGATTAATGAAAAGATACAGTATAAATTATAACTCTTCAATAACAAAATGTGGTTAAAATGCTTGTTAAAAGTGCTTAATAAATATTAAACAACATATGGTATTTTTTCTCTACCACACGACCAGCTTGTATTTTAAAATATTTACGAGCACAAACCTCCAATTGAATCACCAGAACAATAAAAGCTAAGTGGTGTATGTGGGAAAGTCTGGATTTCCCGCCAGTTCTGAGGCAAGTTTCTGTCGACTCTGAATTTCTTTTAATCTGGTAGCCACTCTCTGATACCAATTCGGATAATTCAAGAACGAATTTTCATCGCATAACCCCAATAACCGACTACTTCAATTTTCTCAATGAGGAATAAAATTTCACATTTACACTTCATTCGGGATTAGGTACCAAGAAAAGAATTAACTTCCGTATATAGGGTGAAGGCAGGTCAAAGGATGCAGTTGAAGCTGTGACAAATGTTGGAAAATTACTTGGAATATGTATGTAGTTCAAAGTCGACAGTGTAGGACCCGATTAAAGGAAAAAATAAGTTTATTGCTCATTTTTATATAGTTTGTATGTATTTTTAATAAAACTATATACTTTGAAGTTGAGTCATTAATTTTCAGATAATGATTGTAGAAGGAAGATAAACCAAAATATGTGTGTAAAAATAAAAAAAATGTTACATTGTTTTATAAAGTATCCTCCCGACGATTATTTCAGTGCGGACCTGTATTTGATCGTGCGGTCTTGGAGCACCGGCATGTCCTCCCCTGTGAGGTCTTAAGTCACCTGATTCACGAGCCCTTTGTACTACATTAACAAAGGCACGAGGGGTTGGTTGCACTCGATTGGGAAACCGATCCGCATAAATCCGTGATGCCGCGGCAGCATTTCGTAAAGACTCCCCCCGTAAATAAGAATCATGTCCACAAGTTCAGCATTTTCGTAAACATGTGCCATTTTTTATTTCGTTTGAGCCACGCAACAAACACCACTATTCACTCACGCGTTAGGGACTGACAAATTCACTGAATACAACTGAATAAAATTGTAGTACAAACATCGTGATAAGCGTTTCAAATTCTTTCGCTTTTTTTGTTTCCGATGCGATGAACCGATAAGGTGGATTATATCCGTTGTTGACAAACACGAGCACATAATATTATTGAGACAGGGCGGTACTCAAACTTCTAAAGGGCTATAACTTTGTTACTTTAATTTTACCACAAAAATGTTAAAGGAAAAAAACATTTCTTTTGATCAGATCTACTCACTGTTAAAATAAATGACTGAACTTCGAAGTCACCCTGTATATATGTATATATACAGGGTGTTCCTTAATGATATGCGAATATTTAACGGTGTGAATCTACATGAAAAATTAATGTTAGTTTGCTTTATAAACTATGTCCCAAAAATCTTTCCTTACAAAAACTCGGGGTGTTGAAGTTTTAGGAAAAAAATGGAAATTAATATTTTCAGAACCGCTTCAGGTATTTCACTGATATTTAGTACGCAGTAAAAGTTAATAAAGCTGCATATTTTTCAATGCGGAAATAACTTTTAGCTTTGACAGTGGCGTGCGTACGGGTATTGACTACGATATTTTTTAAGAAAATGGTTTTTTGCCAAATAAAAATTGTTTTTGAATTTCCCGTTCTATTTAAAACAAATGATCTCTCTTGAGTTGCTTTCCTTTGATGCGCAATTTTTGGGTAGAAAAATAAAAACCGTTCTATTGTCCGAGAAAATAATGTAACAATTGAAGAATGCAATTTAGCAATAAGTATCTAGTTGCTCTGGAATATGTCACTGGCTTTTGATATATGACAAGTCTCTGTTTTCAAATCTGTTCGCTGTAACATCTTTTTCATTATTTAGTTTTTACAATCTTGTTAATATTGGTGAATTACTGAAATGCAAAAATGGCGGAAATGCACTATGTATATGGCCTTGCCGACGGTAATGGTGAGCAAGCCAGATGGATTTATCACCAGAGATATCCCGATCGTGCTTTGCCAGATAGTCGAACATTTTCTAATATTCATCTTCGTCTTGTTGGAACTGGTTCTATCCGAAAAGGAACATCTGAAGGTAGACCTCTAAGTGTGCAAACACCTGAAATTGAGGAAGCAGTGCTACACGAAGTCGAAGAACATCCTGAAACGAGTACGAGGAAGATCGCTAGACACTTAAATATTTGCCATCAAATTGTTTGGAGAACTTCAGTGGATTTTTTTGTTATATCCTTACCATATTTTAAGAGTACAGGCATTACTTCCCATTGACTTTCCAAGGCGTGTGACCTTTTGTCAGTGGTATCTTCCCAAAATTACACAAAATCCGCAATTTGAATCAATGATTCCTGTTCAAGGACGAAGCTAATTTTTCTCGAAATGCCATTCAGAATTTCCACAATAATCATTTGTGGGCAGAAGAAACTCCCTATGCCGTAACCTAAACCCATTTCCAACACCAATTTTTGGTTAACGTATGGGCAAGAATTATTAGCAACCACTTTATTGGCCCATTCTTCTTGCCGGGACAGACTTACCTGAATTTTCTTCAACAACAGTTGACTCTGCTGCTTGACGATGTTCCATTAGTAATAAGAAACAATATGTGGTACATGCATGATGGTGCACCAGCGCATTTCAGTGTAGCGGTTCGTAACAATTTACAAACTGTTTATCCAAATCGTTGGATTGGCCGCGGTGGGCCCCAACAATGTCCACCAAGGTCCCCAGACCTCAACAGTTTAGATTTCTTTTTGTGGAGCTATCTGACACTAGTGTACACAAGTCCCACTGTAGAGGAATTAAGAGAAAGAATAGTTGCAGCTTGTGATAGAATAAAAATATTTCAACGAGTACGCAATTCCACCAATAGAACGTTTTTTATTTTTTTACTCAAAAAAGGCGCATCGCAGGAAAACAAGTCAAGAGAGATCATTTGTTTTAAATCAAACGGGGAATTCAAAAATAATTTTTATTTGGCAAAAAAACCATTGGCTTACCATTTTTTTCTTAAAAAATATCGAAGTCAATACCCGTACGCACGCCACTGTTAAAGCTAAAAATTATTTTTGCATTGAAAAAAATGCAAATTTCTTAACTTTCATTCCGTACTAAATATCAGTGAAATATCTGAAGCGGTTCTGAAAATATTAATTAATTTCCATATACATATATAATGGATTCACTATATGTTTAATTCATTTTCCTCACATGACAGCTGATTTGAAATTTACGTGTAGGTACGTATAAACTTTTAATTTAAATTTTTAACTATAGCATCTAAGAATTTCCGCAACGTCCGGCAACACCGTCAGCATAAAGCAGGCGCAAATGTCGAAACACTAAAAGCGTGTTCCACTATGGACCCAGTGAACATAGTACCGTTATGTTGGAATTCTTAGGGCACTACTGACGTACGCCAACCAACAAAAATGACTTCATTATGACGGTCTAATGCCACACTCAATTGACGCCATTATATGACGTTATAGTATGTCGTATAAAAGACCAAACACAGTCTTTATGAGGTCGACATGACGTCGATATAACTTACAGTCACTCCCAAAAATAATCGCGTGGTGTATCCAAATGCTATTGCAAAATTGAGGATGTGATAACGACGCCCCACAAGCAGAGAGGGGTGGCGGAAAGGTGCCGAAACGTCGTTATCACCTCTGCAATTTGTCAGCAGCATTTGTACAAATACAAAGTATATCGAAGTGGTTAGTAAAGAACTAAAAAACCGCGTTTGTTTGTAGCAATTGAATAGAATTGCTTTACTTTTTCAGAGGAGGCCAAAACACTTCTTGTTTCCTGGATGTCACCCAAGCGTTATCGACTATGTAGCAATACTACTAAATTGTACCACAATGAACGTCAAACCCATCGTGATGTCGGTCAAGCCTATAGATTTATAAGACAAAATATCCGAACCATTGCCAAACGGCGAACACGCCAGGAGCTTGGGCATCGGTCGAGCTCATCGACAAGCACAATCGTGCTTCTCCGCTGAAGATCGGCTGAATGGTATATCGTTCCAAAATTTGATTTTTACCGCGCTTGATTACAAATATTCTAAGTAAAACTTGTCTATCGTTATACAGAGAGGTTTATAATAAATTTGTTATTTACGGGAATAAAACACGATGTAAGATGGCAATTTGAAATATCTGAACATGGAATATTATTATTAGAAAAGCCATATTAACAAGATATTTTTGGTCGAAGAACTCCTGATACTTATATAAATAACAATAAAGTAGTTATTAGTATTTGGATATCTAGTTTACCTTGCTGCTCATTAAAAGTGTATATATTCTTTGTAGGTAAGTGTTGATTTTTCAGTACTGACTGCCCTGAAAAAAACGTAAAAATTACAGCCTTTCAAAGGACGTCTTGTTGTCGTCATAAAAATGGCGTCAATAAAGATGTGGAAAATGATGTGACCGAAAAATGACGTCATTTAGATTGTCTTTGTACTAATTTTCCATGAGTTAAGAATAACAAGCCTGCTAAAAAAACAAAATGTTCAAGCTCCATAATGTTTTTGATATGCCCCAACCTGAAGCAATAGAAACGATGATATTATTCAAAATTGTATCCTCTTCACAAAGATGTTTGATTACCTTTAAAAATGTTCAGAAAGTTAAGCATACAAAAACAAACTGGGAGGATCTGAAAGCTATTTTAATTTTTCCTCATAGCACCGCTGTCATTTATCAAATGATTTTCAAAATTAAGTAGCATTACCTACTGTGATCCCACATAGATTTACGTGTTGTAGACAACGCAAAAATGTTCGCATTCACAAAATCTCTGCTACCTCTCGCTCTTCAAAAAGTTTTGAGCATAGGTACACTTTTACTGAACGTTATCTTGCCGATGATCCACGACCTCTGACTGCGAAAACTTCCTGCGGGCGCACATGGTCAATACGTGACTATTCGTATTATTCAATGCATGCATTTCTAAAATCTATATTCCAAATTTTCCTCTTCTTTTGGGATTTGCCACAGTTGGGTGGGACTCCCCTACAATTTCTAATATGAGACCACTGAGGAGCAAGCTACGCCACTGTATTTGG